TCTTTGATGAAGCATTGTCATTATTAATTTTTGACTAACTTTTTCTTTTCATCCTGTTCTATTGCTTTTCTTTGCGATTTTTTTTTACATTCTCAGTCTGTTAAGTAAGCAGCATAGATTGGAAAAGACCATACATTCAGTTTTTTATGATCATACAACTCAAAGTTTTAATAATTAATAAAGAAATAAAAAGTTAAAATATCCAAACTTTTTTTGGTATCTTGGTGCAAAAAGATTACTGTAGTTACCTTTAACATTGATTACTATATGACATAATGACTATATGATATAATGACTATATGATATAATGACTATATAATTCCCATGAAGGTTGCTAATGAATGATAATACTTAGTAGTACAAGAACAACACATATAAGATTCACCAGTGGCATGTAGAAGAAGTAGTCAACTGCTAGAAGTGAGTCAATGAATCTCCAACTAGAGGATATCTACCAAATATTCCACGTGCCCAGATGTATCACAAGGCCAAATTTAATGTGGGGTATCCAAGCCTGTATGCTTGGCTAAAAATTCCCCGTAGACCCTGTATAAAACAAGGTCAGGTAGCTGTTTCCTGAGACAAGAATCTGCCCTTTGACACAGCCTTGTCTGTGGATCCTCTCTGCCCAGAGGCAGAAAGTTTGACCAGCACAGGTGGAGATAAATCTCTAACTGCAGATCAACATACAGTATTTACTACTGTATTTATTTATTGTCTGTAGGTATGCTACGAAAATATAATGACCTAAAAATAAATCTGAGATAATGCCATCACATTCACTATGATATAATGACCTGATAATCTCTCTATGATATAATGACCTTATTATCCCTCTATGATATGTCCTAATGGGATCATTCTATAATATAATGACCTGACAATAATTCTATGTTATAAATGACTTGATCCCTATGATATAATGACCTGATGATCTCTTTATGATATATTAATTATATGTTTCTATAAAAAACTTGTATTAATGTAGGCTTCTACCTATAGCTAATTAATACCTACCATCCCCAAATATAAAGCAGTGAACATTAATGGGCTATCTAAGTGTAAATAATAATATAACTGATGAGGTCTTTGACTTCATAATCACTGAGTTTTACTTACTTTTCATCTTTGTACAGCAAGCTAAAACTTTCTTTGTATTGAATACTTTTGATGGAAAGATACAAGTTGCTCCATGAGTTAGCATCATGAGGGGAGCCAAGGACTGAACCAAAACAGTGGAACAAAGGGACTGGAACACAAATGCGAGTTTCCTGCATTTCAAAAAAAGAAAGAGAGAAAGAAAAATAGTTTAGTACATCAATGTGAGTCAAATTGATTTCTTCAAAGATTCAGTCAGTTATGTGCCATGCGTGATACTGCTTAGGTGATCATATATATCTTTCGATACATGACTGACGAGGCAGATTTTTTCCCTGCAGAAGGTTGCCATTTCTTTCTGTAGTAGACCAGTTACCATCCAAGGCTATAGAACCCAGTCTGTCCTGCTATTTGTACCCATAGCTGGGTGGGGAGAAGAGGATTCATACCTTTCCTAAGGGTATTAGCATGTAAGTGAATGTAATGGATTATTAGATAGATAGATAGATAGATAGATAAATAGATAGATAGATAGATAGATAAATAGATAGATAGATAGATAGATAGATAGATATAAACAGTCCAAGATAGATAGATCAGTTATATGCCATGTGATACATGCTTAGTGATCATGTATCTTTTGATACATGTTCAACGAGGCAAGATCTTTTTCCCACAGTAGGTTGCCATTTCTTTCATGTAGAGACCAGTTGCCATCAAGGCTATAGAACCCAGTCTGTCCTGCTAGTTACCCATAGCTGGGAGGAGAAGAAGAGATTCATACCTTCCAAGAGTATTAGCACGTAAGTGAATGTAATGAATTCAACTGGTATTTGATCTCGGCTCCCCAATTCTTCAATTCGAGCTGCTATCCATTACTCCACCGTAAATGAATTAATTAAATTTATTTACTGTTTTCAAATATTTGTTGAAATCATCTTGTTCATAATTGTTATTTAGATGCACCCCTACCTCAACTTTGTGTCAAACTATAAGCTTTGTAGGTATTTGCTTCTTTTCCTTCTATGTAACATGCCCCTTCAAGATGTTGGTGATAATGGCTCTCCACAATTTCCTGTCCTTTGTTGTTCTTAATGAATTTTGTCTTTTTGCTATCTCTCCCAAACCCTGCTCTGACATCCATTCTCTTAAGCTCACCAGGTAGATTAAGCATGCTTTTCCTCTGTCCCTCTTCCTTTCAATCTATCCTGTGAGTATCAAATTTTCCAAGCCCTCTTTCCTTATTATGTACCCTAGAAATTTCAATTATCTCTTCCTAATATTAAGTATAAATATCCTTTTTGTTTCCATTGTCTCTAGAACTTCATTGTTGCTCAGATGTTTGGTCCATGGTATTCTCAGCATCCTTCAGTAGTGCCAAATTTCTGCTGCTTCAAGTCTCTTCTTCATCTGTGAGGAGACTATTCATCATTCACTGCCATATAGGAGGATGGATACTACATAATGATTCAGTATTTTTTTTCTTTGTTTCTAATGATATTTTCTGTTTCTTAATACTTTACTTAGCTTTTGGAAGTCAACTTTTGCTATCCCATTGTCTGTTAAAATGCTTCCCAGATATTTAAATCTGATTCATTTGTCTGGGGATCTATTTAGGGAGGGCACACATGTCATTTCTTTCGCTTCCCTCAGATCAGCAGCGTTTATTCATGTACATACTCGATAAAGAATACTGGTAATTATATCAGAGAGTTGGATGTGTGAGTAGATTAATGGTTAGCAAATTGGAAAGGAAAATCAAGAAGTCGGGTTCAAATTCTGGCCAAGTTGTCTATGTTCATGTTATATTCTGTGCTAATAGGAATATATACTTGAAAAACAAGGTGGATAAAATAAGTAAAGGTTTATTGTAAAAAAACAAGTACAATAAGAATAAAGGTAACAAGTCGTTGCAAGTCAATCCGATAGTGAGTGTTACTATCGAAAGGTTGGTAGTTCTCTCATAAGTCTGAGTCGTACTCAACAGATCCCAGCTAGTAATATTTACCAAGCTCCCCATAAGCAGGTTTGGGTCTGTCTACCTCATCTGGGTTCCACTCTGCCTGAAGGCAGAGAGTTTGACAGCTAAGAGCTGAGTAACAGATCCCAGCTAGTTGATATTTACCAGCCTCCCCACAAGGTAGGATGTGGCACAAGGCCGAGTTTAATGTGGGTTAATCCGAGCCTGTAGGCTCAGCCAAAAATTCCTCGTAGATCCCATATAAAATTGGGTTGGGTAGCTGTTTCCTGAGATGAGACTCTACCCTTCGACATAGCCTTGTCTGGGGATCATCTCTGCTTAGAGGCAAAGTGTTCGACCAGCACAGCTGGAAAAGATTCCAGCTAGTATATTTACTAACCTCCCCACTTGATCAGATGTGGCACAGGGCCAAATTTAATGTCGGGTATCCGAGCCTGTAGGCTCAGCCAAAAATTCCCCATAGATCCCGTATAATACGGGGTTGGGTAGCTGTTTCTCGAGAAAAGACTTCCCTTTGACTTGGCTTCATCTTTGGATCTTCTCTTCCTGAAGGCAAAGTGTTCGACCAGCACAGCTGGAAAAGATTCCAGCTAGATGGTATCTGCCCCATACAGTCACGTGTGGCACAAGGCCGAATTTAATGTGGGGTTCCCAAGCCTGTACGCTCAGCCAAAAAATCCCCATAGACCCTGCATAAAAAGGGTCGGGTCTGTCTACCTCCCTGGACGAGAGTCTACCCTTCAGCATAGCCTCGTCTGGGTTCCTCTCTGCCTAGAGGGAGAGAGTTCGACCAGCACAGCTGCAAAAGATTCCGGCTAGACAATATTTACTAGTCCAAACGAGGGTAGATGTGGCACAAGGCTGAGTTTAACATTGGTAATCCAAGCCCATAGGCTTGGCAAAAAAAATTCCCGGGTTGTATAAAACGGGGTCAGGTAGCTGTTTCCCAAGACAAGACTCTGCCCTTTGACATAGCCTGGGGATCCTCTCTGAATGGAGGCAGAGAGTTCAACCAGCACAGCTGGAAAAGATTCCAGCTAGACTCTGTAGTCTGTTGACTTACAGATACTTATAGGTAGTTACTACCTATAATGTTGTCACTCATGGGGGTGACTGGTTATTCCATTACATCAGTTCACTTTTGCACAAATAACTTTGGGAAAAGCGTGACTCAATGTTTTTCTCTTTGCTGTGAGTTAAATAGCAGAGCTCTCTCCGTACTCGGAACTTAGATCTGATGAAAGCAATGGAAAATAACATTTGCCTATTCATAATTAATTAAAAGAAAGGAAACAGTAAAGAGCTATGATCACTTAAAAATCCGAGGAGAATGTAACAAGAAATCACTATGCTGTCTTTCCTAAGAAGTGATGGCAATTCACAGATAATAAAGTAAAGGAATCTGTGGAGAGCCATGATCATTTTAAAATTCCTGATTCCAAGACAAGGCCCAGTGTCACTAGAAAGATTGTTGTAGGAAGGGTTAATTTTTCTTATACCAAAAGCTATATAAATCAATTGAAGATTAACCCTACAAATCACTCATTTTGCTTTTCGTCATCAAGATATTTTCTTCCTTAATATAGCACCTGCCATGGCTTGATTAGCGTTAAATCTTCCACTGTTTTGAGATCAAGAAACAACATGGACACAGATAGTGTAAATTGAAGAAACCCACAACCCACAACCAGATTGAACCAGCATTAGCAATGACCACTGCAGAGTTAGCTATGGTTAAAATGTTGTCCTAAGACCCCGAAGACCAGACCACTAAACATGGTTACTGTTGAAACTTGGATAAGCATGGAATAATAATAATACAACACAAAATGTACGTTAACAAAATGTATTGAAAAAGGAAAAAAGGTACACAATATTTACAGTTAGTTTTGGTATATTCTTGGGAAGACTGTTCCTGCATAATGGGTTGACTAAATGCAGTCGGGCAGAGTCTCTTTGATTCGATCTCTTAATCTTCACCCCGTCTTCCGGTACCAACCCATATTTATATGGTCGGTACTCCACTTATGTAGATTAGGTGTATCGTACACAACAGTTACACCCCTTGGTGTAGGTGGTGGTGGAGGGCATTACATTATTTGGTGATCATGACAAAGGATGTGACCCTGTTGGCAGGGGGTGTTGTACATTCAGAAATGTCTAAAATGTCATCTGTATGCACCCTCTTTCTCAGATGAGTAATTAAATATGGCTTCCAGCAAATAAATCCTGTAGGTCATAAAGGACCATTCTTTTTTGAATTTCGTTGACTGACGCTACAGAATCACAAAAACTTTCCCAAAACAACAGAAACCGCATCAGTTGAAGATTTGAGAAGACTTGTGGGGTTACTCACATTATACAAGCAGAGATAGCATTGTGTTCACAGAAATAAAAACATACAAGGAAATAACACTAAAAGATATGTTAAATTGTAAATTAAAATAATATAATTCTATTTATTTTTATGTATTGGTGTGTGTGTGTGTATTTTAGTTGTTTGTTTAAGATTGCATGTTATAGAGAAAGAAAGTTATTTGGTTTTATGACAAACAAGAAGCCGAGGAGAGGAGATGGACATCTTGACTCTTTGAAGGTCGGTAACAAAGAGAATGAGTTTGGCTTTTTTAGGCATAAAGGTATGTTAAATTGTAAATTAAAATAATATAATTCTATTTATTTTTATGTATTGGTGTGTGTGTGTGTGTTTGTGTGTGTGTGTGTGTGAGTTTGGCTTTTTGTGTGTGTGTATTTTAGTTATGTTTGTTTAAGTTGATTGATTGCATGTTATAGAGAAAGAAAGTTATTTGGTTTTATGACAAACAAGGAGCCGAGGAGAGGAGGTAGACATCTTGACTCTTTGAAGGTTAGTAACAAAGAGAATGAGTTTGACCTTTTTTGGGTGTAAAGGTATCCGTTTCTCAGACAGGAAAGGTTTTCTGTTGCATACTGGCAGAACTTTTATTATTTTGTTTTTATTTATTTTATTTTAAACAAAATTTTAATGTTATTTGTTTTATTTTATTTTATTTATGATATTTATTATTATTATTATTATTTTATATTTTTATTTTTATTTATTAATAATAATGTCCCTGCAGACCAAACATCAATTGTAACAGAATTGACAGAATGTGTGCTTGTCAGCAAAACGAACAGCCCAGGATGCAAGGTATGAACTGGAAATATCAAATCAAACAAGTACAAAATGTTATATATTTTGAGAGTGCTTTAAAAGAGGAAGGAAAATGTGACACAGAAATCCAGATGGTACCCTGGAATAGTGAAAAATGCCTTCCAAAATCTTCTGTTCAAATGTTAATGAGTTTGATATTACAAAAACTTTACAGTTACGAGTAAATACCCTTGGGAAATGTATGAAAGGTATGAATCCACCTCTTATCCCTACAGCTATATAAAAGAGAAGTACAAATAAAAAAGGTAACATATCAGAAAGAGACAGTTGAAATTTTGGGGACACATAATGAGGAAAGAGGGCTTGGAGAATTTGATGCTCACAAGACATATTGAAAGTAAGACTGGCAGAAGGAAATATCAAGTAATATACCTGATAAGCTTGTGGAAATGAATGGCCAAACATGGAGTGGAAGAAGTACTAAAAAGACAATTGTTATTAAGAGCTACAAAGGATAGGAAATTGTGGAGAGCCGTGATCATTCATATTCTGGATGGACATGACACAATACACCTTTTTTTATTCAGTAAAGAGTATTGACTAATGTTAAGATGTGAGATTATTTTGTATCCTAGAAAGGGTTACTGAATGAGGAATAAACAAAATATGACACAGAAATCCAGACGGTACCCTGGAATAGTGAAAAATGCCTTCCAAAAGCTGTGTTCAAATCTTAATGAGATTGGTATTACAAAAACTGCATGTCTGTAACCAAAGTGTGCCTTCAAGTTAGAGGACATCAGCTGTGATCTGACCCATAGAGGGATAGGCTCTTCCCTGTCTACTTGACTAAGACACGCTATACATAAATGAATACATCTTCAGCTTTCATCTCAGATTTCATACAACTCAGACAGAATATTTTTTTTTTATCCAGGTAAAGGTACTGACTGATATTAAGATTTAGGATTATTAGATAACCTAGAAAAGGTTACTGAATGAGGAATAACCAAAATGGAGGTTGGAAATGAAATGGTAATCTTTATAACATCAACAAAATACAATACTCGCCAGCGGCGTGAAGTAGGTAAACCACTGCTAGGTGTGGACTACTTAGACAGCATACTACCCCCTCTTAAAATAGTGTCCAACGTATTTATGAGGATTGGGACATACCCATTAGTGTTCATAGGTACGGTATATAACACCCCCACCTTTTAGATTTACTCTGCACAGAGTCAATATCTATCTATCTATCTATCTATCTATCTATCTGTTGTAACCTAGAAAAGGTTACTTAATGAGGAATAGCCAAAATGGTGGATGGAAATGAAATGGTAATCTTTATAACATAAACAAAATACAATACTCGCCAGCAAAGTAGGTAAACCACTGCTAGTGGTGAACTACTTAGACAGCATATTACCCCCACTTAGAATAGTGTCCAATGTATTTATGAGGATTGGAACATACCGATTAGTGTTGACAGGTATGGTATATAACAGATTAACATAGATACTTACCATCTTATCATATGCTAACCGTAACCCCGCAATATAACTATTGTTGACAATATTGTGGTGGGACAGAGTAGCTCCTTTTGATGATCCAGTTGTTCCCTAAAGAAAAAAAAGCATTGAAATTAATAGAAATGCTGACTAAATTTAAATCTGTTCTAAGATTTAACAAGATCTTTTATCTTCCCGGCAGATGTTCAAGTGGTGTAATGGATATTGGCTTGGAATGAGAAATCAAAGAGAAAAGTTCAAATTTCAATTGAGTTCATTATGTTCACTTAGGGCCTGAAAAACTCAGCTTTCACAGGGTATTCTGAGGGTAAGAGAGAGAGAGGGACAGACAGTGGGCTACCTACCTGATGAGCTTATGTGAATGGGAGGGTGATGGCAAAAGGAGGAAGCAGAAAGAAAGAAAGAAAGAAAGAAAGAAAGAGGAGGTTTTGGAGAGCCATGATTTCCCACATCCTAAAGGAACACATAAATAACAGATGTGCAAATACCATTGAAAAAACTATGAATCCACCTCTTCTCCTCCAGCTATGGATTAAATAATAAAGCATGGAATTCATAATGACTATCATCCCAACCGCAGCCAGCCTACATTCATTTATTAATTTTTTAATTTTTTTTAATGCCATGTCCTTTCTGAATATGGATGATCATGGCTCTCCACAGATTCTTCTTTTTTATATGTGAATTGCCATGACGTCTTAGAAAAAATAATGGAATTGTTTCCTTCTCCATGGTTTTGAATTCAGAGTAGGCTGGCTGAAATCCAAGGCTAGAGAACCCACTATGCACTACTATTTAACTTATAGTTGAATTTATGTCTTTCATAAAGGTATTTGTGTGAAAATGAATGCAGCAAACTCAGCCAGAATTTGAACCTTACTTGCTTATTCTACTTATCCTCACTGATAACCATTATACAATACCCACATAGATTTTATTTATTAATAAAAACTCAATGCTCAATGTTCTAAGGTAATATTAATATATTAATGTTATATTAATGTTATATTATATATAATATATATTATATTATATTATATTTATATATTATATTATATATATGTTATATTAATATTATATTAATGTTCTAAGGTAATATTAATATATTTTGTTGTATCAGAAATCTGTATTGATTTGTGATAATGTTTCATATAAAATAACCATATTGTTTTCTCATCTTATTTTCTAAAATGCATTTAAAAATAATTCTTATTGACACATCTGATTTGATATGATTCATTCATTTTTTTCATGGCTTATTGACCCTTTGCAGGTTATTTAAAGCCAGAAAAAATATTTTTAGATTGTAAGAACTTTTTTGAGATAATAATGATTTAGTGATACAAGTCTTACTAGTTAACCCATAGCTGGAGGATAAGAAGTGAATTCATATCTTTTCTACAGGTATCTGTGCATAAGTAAATATGATGAACCCAACTGGAATTGGAACTCGTCTCTCTAATTAACAATTTTGGGCCATTATCCATTACGCCACCTGCATAACTCAATAACCCCTTGCATCCTAGTGGCTTTATGGCCTTGCTTGGGATGAAATGATTAAAAAAAATTGTAAAAAATACACATAAGTGAAACTACAGTTAGCCCGGCCAGCAATGATTCTGTGTTGAAAACATTTCTTCACTAAAACTCCTCCTTTAGTCCTGTAAACCCCACTATGGGGTATGGGTGGGGGTCACAGATCTTAACAACATTAAGGCATGGCTGCTGTGGTTTTCATAAAAGGTAAAGTTTTAAGGGATGAAATTGCTCACCCCATACTCAACTGATTTTGTAACCAGTTTTCACATACAGTACCAGTGTTCCTAAACAGTCCCCCCCCATCTGAAAAATGATTAAGCCATTTAAAATTACTTTTCAAAATATATTTCATATAAGTAAAACATGAGCAAAAAACAAATAACTCTTTAACCCTTAAATGAGAGGAAAAGGAGCAGACAAACATGTAAAAATGAGAAAATTCACATTTAAAAAGCAGTTTTTATGCTTGATTTTGCATTGATTATAGCTATTTATTTTTTTAAAATCATTTTCATCCCAAGCAAGGCAATAATGCTACTAAGATGCAAGAAGTTACTGGGAGTGAAAGACTCTAATGAGGAGATTTGACAATAAAAGAACAGGATTCAGGAATATATCGATTGGCATTGTATTTAAATTTTTGAAGATTGCAGGTGGCAGGGAAGCAAGGAATTCGGAAGAGACCTTCAGAGGCAAGAAGTATGAGAGAAGAAACTATTAGAATAGGATGGATAGTTTCATCTATCTATTTCAACAGTAAAACAGTGAGACCTAGTTTCCAATCTAGTAGCATGCTTCAATTCCTGCAGGCAAAGCAACAAGGAGGAAAGAATAATTACCATGAAAATATTTGTAGAAAAGACAGAGGGAAGAGACATAACATCAGTGAGAAAGTGACTGAAGTCAAGATGTCAGGTCAAGATCAATAACATTACAGACTCTTTGGATTTTGGCAAGGATCTTGAGATATATAGTAGGAACACCATACCAGATATGGCAGCAATATTCACTGCACAGATAAATGGTGGATTTAAAAATGTGCAACATGAATCCTGATGTGAAAATTTGAAGAAAAAATACAAAAATGTGGAAAAAGTTTTTGTGTGACATATTTCATTCTTTAGGGCTTCATCAGACTAAAGTGATGTTTACGTTGATACAAATAGACATGCACAGTACGCATGAAGAGAAGAAAACACTGAGAATTTAAAATTAAAATTTTATTTTTTAATATATTTTTGGGGTATATAGCAGGGTACCAGATTAAAATTTTTATTTAAAACCAAATAATACGTAAAAAAGCCAGAAAAAACTTTTGTATAAAGACAGAAAAAAAACAAATAAACATATGACATTTTATTTATTTATTAATCACAGTGAGATTTTAGGAAATTTATAATGAAATCATTTCTTTATTTCTTCAATTTTAAACATTTGTATAGTGAATTTCTTTTTAGCTGTAAATTTGGAAATGTAATTTATTTAGGGAACAAGTCAAATAATTCTGATTCGCTGGAAAAACATCTTTTTGAGTGTTTTCTTTTTAGAATTTTAATGATATTTTATTTTATGATTAAAAACGTTTTTAGATAAATTTCATGAAATTTAAATTTTTTAACTGAAAAGCTTTTTTTTACCTAACTTATTTAATCTAATGCAAGAATAATAACCATTTTATTAATTATTGATGTTTTTAGTATGTGTATTCATAAGACTTTTTTTTTCATTTAAAGAATTTAATATTAATATCAGAGTAGAGGGCCAAGCATGAGAAAGACCAGGAAAAAATGGTCATTAGTTTATTTATTTATATAATAGAGAATTATAAAAGAGAAATTTGGAATAGATTTGCAAAAGAATCATTATTGCTATTTTTAACAGTAAATTTCTGGATGCCCTTCTCCTTCTGGATTAAGGATATGATGATAAATAGAGCCAAAATCTCCTATAATTCAAGCATATTATTGAGGATAAAAAATTGTATCATAGCAGCTGTTTATTATATAGTTTCTCATGTCCAACTGAGAGAAAGAACAGTTGGAGTAAAATTACCTTGTTTGTAGCATTTATTTTTTAAAAAGTGTTCAATACAAAGTAGAGCAATATATTATTATTTTTATTATAAAAGATTATAATAAAAACATATTGAAATCACTACACAAAAGCTTTCATGTTTCAATGCTGATGTAATGGAATAACCAGTCACCTCCATGAATGATTACACTATAGGTAGTAAGTAGCTATAAAGTCAACTATCTACAAGAGACTTGAGGAAGAGTGAGAGCGAGAAGACGCAAGCATGTCTGATCTTCTAATTAGTGGTACTCACTACTAGATTGACTGGTGTGTATAACTGTACCGTTTTCATAATGTAATTTGTTGTATACTATTATTTAACTTTTATTCTATTATCCACCTGGTGTTAAGTATTTATTCCCTTAGCATGGAACATAACTAATACTTTGATTGTACTTCTTAAAAGGCCAAGTAAAAACCAAAGAAACCAGACCTCTGGCTCCAAACCAACAGGAAAAAAACAAGATTTCAGAAATTTGGCATCAAAAAAAGCCAATCTGGCAAACCTGGGATATAGTCTAGCCAAATTTATTTAGTTTCTTTTGTTCATGTTTACATCAGTTTTGCTATTAAGTGTTCCACATTGTGAGAACAGAAGGTCAGTCAAGAAAGGTGCAATGTAAAAAATTCAGCCAAGAATGGTGCAATGTAAGTAGTTCAGTCAAGAAAGGTGCAATGTAAGAACCTGGATGTAAATTTACTGTAGATGATCTAGTGATTAAAGCAATTTCTATAAATTAATATCCACGGTAAATTTACATCCAGGTTTCCTCCTTGGTATCTTGACAGCATAAATTTAAGCATACTACTAGATTGGTAACTAGATCTCACTGTTTTACTGTTGAAATAACAAGATGCTACCACAAGTTCGATTCTAATATTTTCTTTTCTTGCACTTATCAACTGTGGAACTCTCTTCTGGTTCCTTACTTCCTTGCTACCTGTGATTTTCAAATAACTTAAAATTCAATGTCGAATTTTGCTTGTTTTTCTGAACTCTTTTCTTTTATTGTCTTTTCCTTGTAACAAACATCTCATTTTTCTTTCACTCTTAGTTGTGTCTTAGTGGCATTATTGCCTTGCTTGGAGTGAAACAATTTAAAAAAAAATCATCCTTCCAATTTATTAAAATACCAAATTAATTACATCTATTCTTTATAAATCATCTAGAAGAATTACTGAATCAACTACAATATCACAATTCAAGTTGTTTATCATATATACTCATATATAAACCAACTTCATATATAGTGCAGCCTCTGAATATTTTTTTATGAATTTTAAACTCTCCAGAAAAAAATACCTGTGTATAGTGCAACTAGTCACTGAAACTGCATGATTTGTAACCTCTTCAAAAAAATTACCTGTGTTTAGTGCAACTAGTCACAGAAATTTTGTGATTTGTAACCTCTTCAAAAAAATACCCGTGTATAGTGCAACCAGTCACTGAAAATGCATGATTTTTAACCCCCCTCCCAAAAAATAAATTATGTATGTATAATGAAACACCCAATTTTTTGTATAAAAAACAAGGATAAAAACTCACACTAAACACGTCTGTATACGCTAATCAAAAATAGGGGTTTTATGACATATCACCTTTTCTAGCTGAGTTAAACTTAAGGAAAATAATATTAAAAAAATATTGCTTAAATACCTTAATAAAGTTTTGATTATATATCAAACTTTCCTTAACACCTAAGTAATATATAATCATATATTTTTAATTATAATTGTGCACTATTTTCTTTGGATAAATGCACTTTGTTTATCTTGCCATAACTTTCTTTTTATTTTTCTCCTGTTTTCTTATACAAGAAATATGATCTATAAACTCAATATATCAGATTAATGGTGAGTACTTGAATGACAATGGAAAAGAAAAACTTTTATTTAACTTTTTCCTTCGTACAAATCTCATTTTTTTCATTGTTATTTATTTCGGAAGTTCATTAATTATAAAAAAAATTCAAGAATTTTTCAAATTAACCACAGCATTTTTAAGTAGAAGTGTTGTCATCATAATGATTTTTTTCTTAGATTTTCTCAGTTATTTTGATAATGCTCATTAGGAGCAAAACATCACCAAGGAAATAAAATTTACACATCCAAATGGTTTTCATGTATTTAATTTTATGTACATTTTTAGGATATTTCATATCAATCCATTGTGAGGGAGAACATTTCTCTACACGTCTAAACTTGATCATCAGACAAAAGACATAAAAATACTCCTACATCAAGCAGTAGCAGCAGTAGCTTTTGCTGAAAACATTTAGTCATTCATAGCTAAACATTCCCTAGTTTCTTTTCTACATTATGTTTCCCTGTACCAAAAGGTAATAAACTTGTTAAACCAATTCTGGTTTTCTACTGTTGTTTTTGATAACTCAGTTACAACACAATTATATATATATATATATATATATATATATATATATTTGTGTGTTTAGGCAGCAAATTCTCTTTTAGGCATGTTTGATTGAATAAATTACTGACATTATGTCTGCTAATTTTTAATAAAATCTGTTCATACTCATGAATAACCTTCCATATATTGATGTTAAAGGATGAGAGAAATGTGCTATAGCTGTTTGAATTTCTTTTATTTTCATTTCCCAAGTACTTTTGATTTTTTTCCATAATCATCTTCAGAGGTCTAAGTAATACAAATCTATATGTTGTTCATTAATATAAGTATTTATACAAAGTTGTGTGTTGTTATCCATTACAGTAATTTATTCATTATGCTTTTAAATGCAAAATGGTTGACATGTGCCTAACTATACATATATATATATATATATATATATATATATATATAGACAGCATGTCTTCATTTAAGCATGTTTAGTTGAATAATCTAGAGATATGCCATCCAAGATCATCTTCAGGGCAGCTTGGATGAAATTGAATGTACCTGGGAAAGTAAAAAATAACCAAAACTATGGTATCTTTCTTAATCAGTTTTGTAACAGCACTAAGAAATTGATTGGTGAATTTGAGAGGTTTAACATAAAAAATAAATACACATAATATGTCTAGATTATTTGACATATATATATATCTGTTTATACTTACAGAAGTGAACTGAATGTTGATTGGCTCATCAAATTGTAATTTTTTCTGAATATCAAGAATGTACTGTCGATCTTTCGTAGTTCCAGCCTGTATAACATCATTAAATAAAAATGAGCCTCTGAAAATAAAACAATAAAAAATTATATACATATATATATATATATATTCAAACTGGTTTGGTTAAATAATTTAGACATACTATGTCTGTTTCTTTTTGTTTTAATCCTCTCAGGTCCACAAATCAATTTTTTAGTATATATTTATGATGGATTCTTCTGTCGAGTTTGACGTATGAGGTTCTGACGACCACAAACTAATTATCTGCATGCCTATGATGGGCATCACTTTTGAGACCAGCTCAAGAATTGCACAAAAGACCATAAACAGTACAGGAGAATGTATTGTATCCAAGCACAGCAGGAACACTTTTAGATGTCTTATTTTGCTTTCTCGTTTCATGTAGTCGACTGATGCTTATTTCTCAGTGCAGCTATATCAATGTTGTACTTCTTTAGCTCCAATGCGACCAGAGCTGTTTTTCTTTCTGGTACTGAGTTGTTGTCCTGGAGAGTTCGTATATTCCAAGTGCCAAGATGAAGTTGATGATGTTTCGCAGTAGCCGGGTATGTGTGGAACTAATTAGATATAGTTGTCAGAAAACCAACACAATGTTTCAAGTGATGAAGACTTGTCTCGGACTATCCACACTTTTTGGATCTGTCGATAAAAAAGTAACGGTGCAAAAGACTTACCATGAAAACTCTGAACAACAGTCCTCATGTGTTATTATTGCGGAGTTTAACCTCTCCGGATCACAGTCAATAACATATATATATAAGGTGTTGTTAAGCAGCAAGAATTCTTTCAAACAAATTTTTTTTGAATAATATTGACAAGTCCTGTCTATTCAATTTTTTATTAACTTTTTAAAATTTCCAAATAAGTCATTTTATATAATCAGTAAACCTAAAAATTAAAAAAAAAATGTATGTTAGGAAATACCAATTATGTCAAACAACGTATTCAGAAATTACCAATTTGGAGCCTTTATCCATTACACTACCTTTATGTCCAAGCTTACAGCACCTGGTATTCCCAAGTGGTCACCCATCTAGGTACTGACCAGGCTCGATGTTGCTTAACTTCAGTGATATAATCAGCAATAATAATGAATTAACAATGATAAAATTAAAATTTTTATACAGATAATAAACATAAAAAGATTGTCTCTTGAGTCAAGAAATTTAGCAGGATTGTAAGGTCAATTCATTAACGTGCTTGCAACTTACCACTGTTTCATATCTTTGATTCAATAAAGTGTCACTATTCAAGTACTTAATTATTTCCATTTTCTCCTGTAGACAGAGAAAGCATGCTTTGTTCAATGATCTAGAGATTCTAGCTAGTTTAGCTAGTTTTAGAATATATATATATATATATATATATATATATATATATATATATATAAAATAAATATATATATATATATATATAAAAAGAAATATGTTGTAGTGGTTCCAAACTGAAAGTAAATTCACGTTAAAAAATTTTTTTTTTTGTTCACATGAAATATTTTCATATGAGACATTCTGTTTAGGTGTTATAACCGAATTTCTTCTAGGAAAGAAAATTGGATTGTTTTTCGATTGTTAATATTATTTTCGATATGATATTTGTTTTTAATCCGAATTTTCTTTCTAGAAAGAAAATTCGGATTGCCAACACACAAACAGAATGTCTCATATCGAGAATATTCCACATTGAACATGAAGAAAAATTAATTATTTTTAATAATATGTAAAAAATCTCCACTTTCACCTGAAGACGGTTTGTAGACCAGACCAGAAACACGGTTGAAATTATGTAAAACAAAGTATAATATTTTTTCTCAATAAATCCCACATTACAAAAAAAAACGTTTATGCACCCCTCTTTTTTTAATATATATATATATATATATATATATATATATATATATATATATATATGCATGTACATGAGACTAGCTTAATGATTGGCCAATAATTAATACCCTTATAACTATTCTCATGTACATAACTTAGCAGTGCCACCTGTATAGATCTACCATTTCCAAACTGCCATTTTGCCAAGGGGTATTAACTCAACACAAGCTTGTTCTATTGCTCAGAGAATTCTTGCACTTCTTGTTTGTGGATCTCCTTCCTGGCTCCATGATTTCCAGTCAACTTTAAACTTCAAAAATTTAAATGCAATGTCAGTAACTATCTACTATCCTCTGGATTACTCTTCTTTTGTTCTTGCTTCTTAGTAATGTTTCTGTTTTCTAATTCTTCTACACCTAGTAACCTCTTGCGTCTTAGTGGCTTTACTGCCTTGCTTTGGGTGAACTCAATAAAAAAAAAAAAAACAGATGATGCTAATTTACTGGAGTCCAAAAGTGAATAAATGATGAGTTTAGATAGTAAAGATTTAGTCTTGTATTCTTATTACATTTTATTAATTTTTTAAATCAAATTCATCACAAGCAAGACAATAAAGCCACTAAGACACAAGGGGGATACTGAGTGTGAAAGAATATGAGAAAAAGAAAACATTATTTAGGAGAGAAGACAAAAGAACAAGAATTAAGAAGACTGAAGATAATGATTGATATGGCATTTAAATTTTTGAAGAGCCAAGTTGAATGGGAAGCAAGAAACCAGAAGAGAGTTCCACAAGCAAGAAGTGCGATAGAAGAAACTGTTAACATAGAACTTAGGGTTACATCTAGCCAGTTGAACTGTAAACTGATGAGACCTTGCCACCAATCTAGTACTGTTCATAAATTCATAAAGTCTAGGTACCATAGTGGACAGTTCATCAGAACAATTACCATAAAAGTATTTATGGAAAATGCATAGGGAAGCTACATTATGCCTGTAGGAAAAGGACTTTTTATGAAAAATATTTGGACAGTCTGCCTATTCTGGATTTAGATTTCATTGAGGACTGCTGTGTTTGCAAACTATTTGAAACAAGGAATATTCTTATTGTGCTTCATAGCATATTTCCTTCTCAGTTCAAACCTTTACAGCTCTATGTCCACAGAGTTGAATCACCTACCCCCCCCCATATTCCATTTGTAAGGAGGAAGTTGACTGGGAAGCAAGAAACCAGAAGAGAGTTCCCTTAGTGAGAAATGTGAAAGAAGAAACTGTCAGCATAGAACTTACAGTTATGTCTAGCCATTTCAACCACAAAATGATAATACCTAGCCACCAATTTACAGGGTGATTGAAAAGTAACTCCCTATTTTATCTAAGGGTAGCCAGCCAGGAATCCTGATTTAACACCCTTTGATTTTTTTCTTTGGGGTTGGGTTAAAGGAGCAAGTCTACTATACCAAACCAAGATTTTGGAAGAACTTGAAGGGTGAATACCAGAAGTTATGTCTTCATACCACAAGAGTTCCTGGTGAAATCAGTTGACATGATTCCTTGGCTGGCTTGAGAAGCTGGTAGTGAAATCTGGTGCCCATATTGAATTTTAAACAAAACCTCATGCTAAAAGCTTCCCTCTCATATCCATTTCTTGTAAAAGTTATAGTTAATAAATAAATTATAAGTATTTTAAAATGAGGAATTACTTTTCAATCACTCTGTAGTACTTCACTTGACTTCATAAAGTTTAGGTACTAAAGAGGACAGATCATTAGAACAACTGCCATGAAAATATTTATAGAAAAGGCAGAGGGAAATGATGTTACAGCAGTTGGAAACTGATTGAAGCCAAAGTGAAGATCAGTAACATTGCAGATTCTTTGGATTTTATCTAAAATCTTTAATTGCATAGCAAACACACCAGGCCAGACGTTGCAGCAATATTCAATGCATGGATAAACTTAAAAATGCATGGTTGATTTACAAATGTGCAAGATTCTGGTGAGAAAAACTGTCTAGCACAACATAGTGAACAAACTTTCCTAGCAGCAGACCTAGCAATTGATGCTTTCCAATTCATGTCAGTGGAAAATGTTAGCCATAGAAGGTAATGTTAACTTTACATTAATTCTGGCTTTGATTGTACACATCAATGGGTTAAAACTGAATTTTTAGAAGTGTATTTAAAAGTTCTATATTTTGCCCCACTGATAATTCACCTTACAGCATTTAAACTGAAGATAATGTCCAAAATGGATACAGCTAATAACAAAAGAGTTGATCTAACTTATGACATGAAAGATAAAACTGATAGTAATTATCTGGGAAAAGCAAAACCCACCTGCCTGCTTTGAAATGCTTTTTTACACACTTATCTTTCGTGAATGGATATTTTGAAGTGAAATTAGAACAAGAAAATCTGCCTGCAGGATATTACAATGTAAAAGATATATGGAGCTCCAAAAATTATCTTTTGATGCTAAGAATACCAGATTTAGTGATACTAATCCTAATAATTACTGTAAATACTACTCCTTGCATGTTAGCTTACAGCCATATCAAGTTGAAACACCAATTCTCATATGCTCGTTGAAGTTAAAAAGTAACATAAAAGTACATTAACTTTAAAGAGTAGTGCTAAGTGAGCGTCTTCTGAATTCCTTAATATAAAAGCAGATTGGATCTAAATAGTGCTAAGTGAACGTCTTATGAATTCCTTAATATTAAAGGAGATAGGATCTAAATAGTGCTAAGTGAACATCTTATGAATTCCTTAACATAAAAGCGGATTGGATCTAAATAGTGCTAAGTGAATGTCTTCTGAATTCCTTAATATAAAAGCGGATAGGATCTAAATAGTGCTAAGTGAATGTCTAATGAATTCCTTAATATAAAAGCGGATAGGATCTAAATAGTGCTAAGTAAACGTCTTATGAATTCCTTAACATAAAAGCAGATAGGATCTAAATAGTGCTAAGTGAACGTCTTCTGAATTCCTTAATATAAAAGCGGATTGGATCTAAATAGTGCTAAGTGAATGTCTTCTGAATTCCTTAATATAAAAGTGGATAGGATCTAAATAGTGCTAAGTGAATGTCTTCTGAATTCCTTAATATAAAAGAGGATTGGATCTAAATAGTGCTAAGTGAATGTCTTCTGAATTCCTTAATGTAAAATCAGATTGGATCTAAATAGTGCTAAGTGAACATCTTATGAATTCCTTAATATAAAAGCGGATAGGATCTAAATAGTGCTAAGTGAACGTCTTATGAATTCCTTAATATAAAAGCGGATAGGATCTAATAATTACCCAGTATTGTTTACTAATTAATGATTAATATGTCTTTTTAATAATTAACACATTAAAACAATAATAAGACATGAAAATTCCTCCCCGTTGAAATTTATTCATCTGAAAATGTTGATGTCAATTTCTATGTTGGTTCTCAGTCCCAACCCTCATTCCCAGACAAATCTGTAGACGTGCAATGCTCTATAAATGGAATCTCCACAAATGATGACAACTTGTCTTTTACATGTGAATGTTTTGGCTGCCACTGCTTTTAGGGAACCAGAAGTAGTGAGCCCCCCTCTACAACAATATGGTTAATAGGCACATTGCATAATAATATAATACTTGAAAACTTTGTTTGCAATACAATATTTAATAAGGTTGTAGCTCAATCAAGGAATAAAATAGTAAATGTACATACCAACTAAAAAGATAAGGGTAAAACTAATATACTTTTAATAGTAATATACTAATATTTATACTTGGATTGCATTGTCCTAGCAGCCGTTCTTTCTATTTACACATTGCAGCCTGCCTAGACTTAACAAAATATTGTCTCTCCAGGAAACTCAAAATATGGAGAACATGTTCTTACAGTATGCCTCAGTACACTGACATAATTATATTAAAATAGAATATAAAAGAAATAGTGTTGAAAAGGTGTTACTTACGGTTTGTTTGTTTGTCCCATCATAATAACAGTTTTCAAATGAGGCACACTATTGAAATACAAAGAAACAAAAAAATCTATTTATAGAAAAAGAACAAATATACTCTTGACAAAGCTGAAAATTCTGTGTAAAGTTTTATCATAAATTTCCTTTGATAAACTTAATATTTTCTGGTTGGTCAGTAGTATCATTTTCTTTTTTTTTTTTAAATCCAGTTTACCCAAAGCAAGACAGTAAAGATACTAAGACACAAGAGGTTACTGGGTGTGGAATAATTAGTAAACAGAAATATTACTGAGAAGAGTAATCAGGAAGATAGTACATAACAACTGACATTGCATTAAAATTTTTGAAGGTTAAAGTTGACTGGAAAGCATGGAGATGGAAGGGAATTTGACAAGTGAGAAGTACTAGAAACTGCTGTCCTCGATGTGATGATAAACTACATCTGTGTTTTGAGTAAGATGATAAACTACATCCGACAGCAAGGTCTCTGATCAGAAGGTTTTGAGGAGGAGCATGGAACCACCTCTTAATTGCTGGTGTTCTTAGGTTCACCCTGACCCAGGGTGGTGTTAGGGACAGCTATGGGTAAATAGTTAACCTCTATACTGGGGTCAAAACACTATGAAAGTGTAAAAATAGGTTGTAATACCAGAAATACTTTTTGTAAAAAATTATCACCAGCAATACATTATTACCAGCAATACATTTTTGAAAAAAATATCACCAGCAATAGCTAAGTTTAACGTTAAGACAGAAGAAGACTGTCCTTTTCCTCATTCCCCATTTTGGCCTTGTGCCATATTTCTGTACATAATAGAATAAATATTGCTCTTTGCTATGGTACCTAACTACTTCATGAATTTAAGCATGGTACTAGATTAGCAACAAGGTCTCATCAATTTACAGTCGAATTGGTTAGATCAAACTGTAAGTTCTATATTAACAGTTTTTTCTCTAGCACTTCTCATTTGTGGAACGGAACTCTCTTTTGGCTTTCTGGCCAACTTTGATCTTCAAAAATTTAATTGCAATGTCAATCGTCACATATTTTCTTCCTGATTACTTTTCTTTTGTTCTTGCTCCTTAGTAATGTTTCTCTTTTCTAATTCTCTCACACCCAGTAACCCCTTGTGTCTTAGTGGCTTTATTGCCTTGCTTGGGGTGAATTTGATTAAGAAAAACATTGCTCTACAAGAAGGATGCTTGTTCAAACCCTGCCAGAAGGCATATTTTCTTTATTAAGAATCTTGAATTTAATAGGCAGGTGGATATAAATTTACTCTGTTTAAAAAAACAGGAATGTCTACTCCTACATGTATATCCATGAACTATAACATGTAAGTGATTAGAAATAATGTCGGATCCTAAATAAAATCCTTTACTTATTTAGAAATTATTTTTTTACATTTCATATATGAAAATAAAGTTAGTATATAGGCTCTGAATGATCCCGATGGGAAATGCATATTTCTTGAAAAACATAATTAAACCTTGCTTGGCTGGTAAAGTCTTATGTGGCCATTTCCTCTATAAAGTGAATGTAGGTTTGAACATTGCCTTTATTAAAACTCTTCAATTCGCTGGCCAGTAGACATAAATTCTAGTGGCATAATGGTTAGCGGCTCTGATTGAGAAATTGGATTGTCAAGTTCGAAATCCAGTTACGTTCATTGCATTCACTCACATGCTAACACTCTTGGGAAAGGTATGAATCTATCTCTTCTCCTCTAGCTTTGGGTAAAATAGCAGGGCAGACTGTTCCCTATAGCCTTGAGTGGCAACTAGTCTAGAAGGAAAATTCTGAATTTAAAACCGTATATATCCCTGGCATTACAATGACTCCTATGATTCCTACTGCAGAGGTGTGTGTACATGTGTATCACTGTAAGTGTTATCTATTTATTATTTATTTAGACATAAATTTACACTGTTTGAAAACAGGGATGTATATTATAACACTTGTACCCACAAAATATGTTTAAAGAATTAAGAAATAATGTTGGATTATAATTAAAAAATCTATTAATTCCTTAGAAAATACATGTATAACTTCATGTCTTTTAATTATCTGATAGTCAGTACATATACACACGCATATACATATACACATACGCATATACATATACACATATACACAGATACATATTGAGAGTGGTACTGACTTTTGGGCATTTAGTCCTCCAGGTGGAGCTGTTTCTAATTCAGGGGCCAGCTGAAACAGGATATCATAAAAATCTTGCTTTGGTAATGCTTCGGCAATCACAATAGCCTTCATGTCAGTCTGAAAATAAGAAAAAAATTTTCATGCTGAAAATTCTTCTTCTTTATACTATGTTCCTTTAGGATGTGGGCGATCATGGCTCTCCACAATTTCCTGCCTTCTGTAGCACTTAAATTGGTATCAGATCACACACAGACTGTACATGCTGTGATTATACCTTTCAGAAGAAATATATGCACATCAAACTCTCATTGAGACCCTACTCAATGATTCAGTATGCCACTAAGCTTTTTACCATCTATTCTTTTACAACTATTACACAAGCTTTTGTAATGTGTGGAACCAACTCTCAAATCTATCTTTAAAATAGCTGTCAAATCTGAACAGTGAGCTTGGATCAACTTTTGAGCAGGGAACCTAAATAAACTTGTGAGAGGGAAACCTGGATCAACTTTTGAGCAGCAAACTTGGGTTGACTTTTGAGCAGTGATCCAGGATCAAATTTAGGGAAACAAGCCTAGATCAGCTTTTGAGTAGTAAATCTGGATCAACTTTTGAGCAGTGAACCTGGGCAAACTTTTGAGTAGTAAGTATGGATTAACTTTTGGCATTGAGCCTGGATCAAATTTAGTGCAATGAGCCTAGATCCATTTTTGAGCAGTTAGCGTGGATCAACTTTTGAACATCAAGCTAATCAACTTTTGAGCAACAAATATGAATCACTTTTAAGCAATGAACCTGGACAAACTTTTGAAAATGAGCCTGAAGCAAATTTTGAACAAGAAGCCTGGATAAACTTTTAAATTAAGAGCTTGGATTAACTTTTGAGCAGCAAAGTTGTAACAATTTTTGTGCAATGAACCTGGATCTTTTGTGCAGTGAGCATGGATCGATTTTGACAGCAAGCTTGAGTCAACTTTTGAGCAGTGAATCTAGATCAATTTTTGTTCAATGAGCCTGAATCAACTTTTGAGCAGCAAACCTGGATCAACTTTTGTGCAATGTTGAAGATACCATGAGCTAAACATGTAACCAATGACAAAGTTTTATAGAAAATGGAAACAGAAAGGAAACTTATACTTAACGTCAGGGAGAAACAGTTGAAATTTCTAGGGTACATAAAGAGGAAAGAGGGCTTGGAAAATCTGATACTCACAGGATAGATTGAAAGCAAGAGAAACAGAGGAAAACAATGCATAACCTACCTAGCAAGCTTGAGTAAATGGATGGCAGGACAGGCTTTAGGAGAGACAACAAAAAGATGAAATTTATTAAGAGCTACAAAGGACAGGAAATTGTGGAGAGCCATGATCGCCTATATCCGGAATGGACATGGCACATAGAAAAAGTAAACACAAACATGACAACAGAGTTTCATCTTCAAAAGGAGTGATCACAATCGCACACCAAGGTTCTTCTAGAATAAATCCATACAACAAACAGTTCACAGGGTTGCACCATCACAGTTACTATATATACTTGCAGATAGGTCACCCCACTGGATAGGTCACACACCTACTTTATGGTTTAATAATTAATGATTTACTGTTGATTTGCTGATAGGTTGCACCATAATTTGGGGAGTTACACAGCTCTTTTTAAACGTAAGAATTATCAGATATCTACTTTTATTTCTACCTTTATTTCAAAACTTACAATTATTAATACACTTTTGCAGTTAATATACATTTCATCAGTCATCATGTAGACAAAAGGAAGTAACTGTTGTACTGGTATTTTTATATTTACCACATATTATTTTTATATCGAGTCAACTCAACAAAACAAAAAAAAAAAGAACTACAGAAGAAAATGTTATGGTGCATTTAGAAAAAGGTGTTTATCTATTTATATACCAAGTTACAGTTTTAAAATTCATTCAGAACTGAATCCACAGCTTTAGTATTTATGAGTATCATTTCAAATCTCTCAGAAATCATGATGACAAGGTAGTGTTATTTTACATTTATGTCGAGCGGATAGGTTGCACCCCTATTATTTTGTGAAATTTTTGGTAAAAAAAGTGTGACCTATCTACAAATATATACAGTAACTTTATCCCTTTTCATTTTAGGTCATACTCTTTTCCTGTCGTTGGCTGTATGCCAATTTGAATGCACATATGCAAATCCTCAAAGCGATAAATCTGGGTTATTCTGACAAATTATATTGTGATACATGATAGAAAGAGTTGGCATCAGTTTCATATTAAAGATATGAGTACAAGCTAAATGGGTATTTTCTGCTTGATTGGCACATATATTTCAAGGCCAGTCAAGTGTTATTCAATGCAATCTATCACCATATACAATCTATGAATTCATCCATGATGTCTGTAATTAAACAAACTATCACTTGTGTGATTATTTTCAGTTAAAGAATCTGTCAAGAGATCTTAGTCAAGAATCTTTTCTAATACCACCTTTTCTTAAAAAAAACTGTCTATGAAACCTTTGCATAAAATGTATTCAAAATTTTTACTTATTTTAATGATTACATATATAGTTACACAGCAAATACTAAATGCATGTTCATTGCAAATTATTTTACTATAGAATTTATTGCAAATCATTTTACTATAGATTTCATTACTATAAAACTGCACTGAAAATTATTTTACTAGAGTATTGCATTGAAAATTATTTAATATAGCAGTTCATTGCAAATTATTTTACTATAGGAATGCATTGAACATTAGTTTATTATAAAAATTAATTGTAAATTATTTTATTATAGATATTTAATTTCAAATTATATTTTTATAGAAAAGAACTGAAACTTATTTTACCATAGAAATGCATTGTAATTTCTCCTAATACTGTTTACGTAACCTGTAATATTAATGTTAGAATTTATTAAAAATGCATTAAAACATTTATTTATTGTAATTACTATATATTTAGTAATGCAACAAAATACTAAATGCATATATAGAAATCATTGCAAATTATTTTACTATAGTAATTGCACTGAAAATTATTTTCCTACAGCATTACACAGAAAATGATTTTACTGTAGTAATGTGTTGCAATTTTACTTACTACTGTTTACACAACCTATAACATTAAGGACAGAATTTAATAAAAGAAAAAACATTAAAACTTTTATTTATACTAAAGTTTATATCTATAGTAACACAGCAAATACTAAAAGTATGCATACAGTAATTCATTGCAAATGATTTTACTATAGAAATCTATTTTAAATCATTTTACAATAGATAGGCACTGAGTATTATTTTATTACAGAAATGTATTGTAATTTCTCTTAATACTGCTTATGTATACCAAGTAATATGGAAACAAAAAGGACACTTATACATAGCAGCAGAAAGTGACAGATGAAATTTCTAGGGCATATTATGAGGAAAGAGGGCTTGGAAAATTTAACACACACAGTGTATATTGAATGTAAGAAGGACGAAGGAAAACAGCACATAATCTACCTGAGCTTGTGTAAATGGTTGGCAGAACAGAGATTAGGAAATATAGCAAAAAGATAAACTTTACTAAAGGTTATAAAGGACAGGAAGCTGTGGAAAGCCATGATTGCCCACGTCCTGATGGGACATGGCACATAGTAGAAGAATAAATACAATTTATGAAAAGTATACAATTAAACATTTATTCCTTCTAATGATTACATATATAGTGTAAGAGCAAATGATAAATGCATATATATATAACAATTCATTGCAAATTATTTATATATAGTAATGTATTGAAAATTATTTTACTATAGAATTGCAGTGAAACTCATTTTGCTATAGAATTCATTGGAAATTATTTTCTTATAAAAATGCATTGCAATTTTGCTAAATAATAACTGTTTATTTAACCTGTGACATTAAAGGTAGAATATATTAAAATAATATATTCAAACTTTAATTCATTTTTATAATTACATATATAAATAAAAATATCTATTAAAAGTATATAGAGATATTGATTTTACTACAGAATTGCATAGAAATTATTTTACTACAGAAATACATTGTAAATGATTTTACTAAAGAAACGTATCAAAAATTATTTTACTACAGAAATACATTAGAAATAATTTCCCTATAGAAATGATTTGCAATTTATGTAACCTGTGATATTAAGGGTAAATATTAAGGTAGAATTTATTAAAAGAATACATTAAAACTTTTATTTATTTTAAACATTGCAAATATAGTGACATAGCAAATATATATATATATATATATATATATATATATAATATATATATTATATATGTGAAAAATATATAGAAAATAGGAAAGAACTCGTTAGGTAAATAATCCAAAGTTCTTTCATATTTTTGTTATTATTTTTAAAAAATAGGACTTGATACAAAAGTAGAGCATAAATATAATTATTTATTTAAAAATATGATTCCAACACGCTACGTAAGAGTTCTCATGTTTCAAAACAAGAGCCGAAAACTTCAATATAATTATTTGAATTAAATTGAATTAAAGTAAGCTCTGTTCCATCTTCAAGCGAAATTTTTTTTTTGGAATAACTTATTTCTGAAATTTATGTCATAATAGCATATTCATTATTGAAATCAAAATTTCCATGGTAACGGCTAGAGTGATTGTTTCAATAGAAAGGGGTGTAGGGTGTTAATAATTTGTATCAATATAGAGTTACATTCATAGATGTCAAGTCAGGATAAGGTTGGGGTATTTAAATTTAAAACGGAAGATGATTTCGCCTAATCTGGTTTACGTTTCTATGGAGATGTATTTATTTTTTTTATTTATTTTTTTCTGAAAGGGTTTTGTGTATATAAAAAAACTGCCGTAACATTTGTTTTTTGACGACTTCATAAAGGGTTATCTTTTTTTGTAGGGTATTTAAACTATTTATTAGGGCTATGGATTATAAAAATTATTTTATTGTTTGTTTGTTTTTATGCTAATTATTCAATGCAAAATTTTGATGATGTCGGCAAAAAACCGTTAACTCACGTCTATTGTTTAATAGATTTTATTATTTAGAAACTATTGTTTAATAGATTTTTATTATTTAGAAACTTAATAATATATATATATATATATATATATATATATATATATATATATATATATATATATAGAGAGAGAGAGAGAGAGAGAGAGAGAGAGATAGATAGATAGATAGATAGATAGATAGATATTTATTGGGAATTATTTTACAAAAAGATTGCACGGAAAATTATTTTACTATAGAATTGCATTGAAAATTATTTTCATATATTATTAAAAACTATTGTATAAAAACTTTCATTCACTGTAATGGTTGCACAAACAGCAAATATAAAAAGCAAATATAAAAATGTCCTTTTATTATAGAAATTCATTAGAAATGGTTTTACTATAGATGTATTGAAAATTATTTTCATATATTATTAAAAAACAAATGCATGAAAACACTCATTTATCTTAATGATGGCACACACAGCAAACAAATATAAACATTCAATTTACTATAGAAATTCATTTGAAATGATTTGAAATGCATTGAAAATTATTTTCATATATGATTAATTTTGACATAAGAAATGCTACTCTAATTAAATGAGAAAATAATTCACTAAGACAAAAATGTTTAAGAAAGTGATTTAATTGCTAGTTCATCCACAGTAAATTTGCATTCAGGCTCTTACAATGTTTTACCATTCTATTATCAGAATGTGGAATATTAACAAAGATTATGGGAACAAAAAGGTCTAAATGAAATCAACTAGATTATATACCAAAAACACATTAAAAAATTTTTTTTTCTAAATTTAAAATTCTTAGCGTCGTTCGTGCACATGGGTAGTTGCATCAATGTATCTAGTCTGATGAAGTCCCAAAGGATGAAATGCATTATGCAAAAACTTTTTCCATTTTCTCATACATCTTTTCTCCATATATTATTAAAAAACAAATGCTTAAAATCTTTCATTCACCTTAATCATTGCACAGACTAACACAGCAAATAATAAAAGCAAATATGAAAATTTTATGATGGAAAATTCATTAGAAAATTTTATTATAGAAATGCAATGGAAATTATTTTACAATAGAAATGAAATGGAAATCAGGCAATAAAAGAACGATTATCATATAAAAAATGGCAAAGAACACTTACTTTATTTAAGGCATATTTTAGTTCTTCTTTCTTGTAGGCTGGATTGACACTGACCTAAAAAAGACACACTAACATATATTTTTGGTAAGTATTTTCAGTTATTGCCTTATTAAGGTTCTCATGAAGAGCATTCATAACAGAATTTGTCTGTAAATAGAGCAAGGGCAATGTGGCTTTGTTCAGAACACACAAAAATGAAATGTTATATTTATGATCAAAATGCTATCAGCATGCGCAATACAATTTTTTATAAAAATTATTTTGCCTCAAGTAAGGCAATAATGCCATTCAATTACGTGCCATGCGTGATACACACTTAGGTGATCATGTATCTTTTGATACATGACTAATATTGCAGATTCTTCCCGTCGTAGCCATCTAAGGCTATAGAACCCAGTCTGTCCTGCTATTCACCCATAGCTAGGGGGAGAAGAATAAGATTCATAGCTCTCCTAAGGGTATTAGCATGTAAGTGAATGTAATGGATTTGACTGGAATTTGAACTCTGTTCTCTGATTCCTCAATCTGAGCTGCTATCTATTACTCCACCATACCTTCTCAATAACGATCCAGTCCAGTTATGTGCCATAAGACGATCAATTAGGCAAACATGTATCTGGCGAGGCAGATTTTTCCCGCAGTAGGTTGCCATTTCTTTCTGTGGTAGATGAGTTACCATCCAAGGCTATACAACCCGGTCTGTCCTGGGGGGAGAAGAAGGAGATTCATACCTTTCCCAAGGGTATTAGCATGTAAGTGAAGATAATGGATTCGGCTGGAATTCGAACTCAGCTCTTCGTTTTCTCAATCTGAGCTGATATTCATTACTCCACTGTGCCTCTCTAAGAATGTCATTAGAAAGGCATAAAAAAGGCATACTTACATTTCTTTGTTTTCAAAAAGGGATTTGATAGAGCATGACACAAAGAGCTACTTGAAATACAAGGAAAGCTTGATTTACACTGATGCCCATCCAGCTCAGATTTATACACAAGTTTATGATGTTTTTGTTCAACTACATTCAGGTACCTCTATTCATTGATACAACAATTGATGTTATCAGTTACAGCCAGGAAAATATGTATTGACTTTATTCTGGCATTTTTTTTCAAAAATGCTATAATTATTATTATAATATACATCTTTTGAATCTGTGTTCCCATTAACCTGAGAAATCATCTACAAGCTCGGCATGTGAGAGTCTCATTTTCTTTTATAAGACTAATTGCCCATGACAGGTGAAATCAATTTGTTGCAAAAAAAACAAAAAAAAAAAAGCCATGGCTGTTTACCTTCTCAATATGGTGTTTATATATATATATATATATATATATATATATATATATATGTGTGTAAATTTCCAAGAGGATAGAATCCAGGTAGAACTCAATGTCCAGGAGAGTCTGATGAATTGGATCGTGATTGCGATTCCAATGTAATAAATTATAACCATGGAATAGTAGTGTTTGAGCCTTTTATTATATATCTTGAGGCGGTGTAATAGTTAGCAAGCTTGGCTGCTAGAACAATTACGACTGAGTAGTGAGTTTGATCCTCACTGGGTGCCCCCTAATTTCGGCCTTGTGCAACATCTAAGCTACACTTGGAAAATCATATATATATATATATATATATATATATATATATATATATATAACATTTATTCAAAAATTACACCGTAAGCATGTTGTTGTTATAACATGACTACAAAAATAGCCATTTTGTTTCAACACTTCTAGTGTCTTATCAAATGATGGCGTTGATTGCAAAATAAAGATTGTTTTGGAAATTTCAAAACCAAATACAACCCTCTCAATAGGGGAAAACTTGTTACGTAACCTATGATGACCAATCAGAATACAAGTATGTGAAAATTCAAAAAATGTGACCGTGTATTCTAAACACAGTTACCTGATCAAATATAATGTTAGACTAAACTAGAAATCAATATGAAATAATTAAGTTTTAATTTCACAGTAAAATTAAAAATTACAAATTTCAAATTCTAAAATTAAATTGAGCATTAGATTTAAAATATAAAGTTATTCAAAAATGGAACGGAGGAAAAGAAAATATATTACTATCTTAGCTAAATGCCAATTTATCCGGTAAATTTGACGCTGATGTGAAAAGTATCAATAAACGCTACAAACCAAAGGCATTAGTCATTTAGATAATGTAGACGACATGACAAACATATTCACATTCTAATACACAGATACATAAAACTAAAAATATATGTGCACTCAAATATAAGAATGACACAGGAAATAGATGAAAAACGAAAGAAAGAAAAACAAAAAAGGGGAAAAAGAAAAAAATTCAGAAAAATAAAAAAGAAGAATAAAAAGCAAATAAAAAGAAAAAGAACAAACAAAAACATAAAAAGAAATTTACACCCGAAACAAGCGTATACAAGTAAAAACCAAATACAAGCAATCACACACTCTTACCTATATACAAATAAATAAACTCACCAAGATTCAAGCACAAATACAACAATAAAATGACACAAATTACCCATCAAAATATTACATACAGGAACAAACATATAGATAAAAACAGGTGGAGTATCAAATATCAGGTATGAACAAACTAAAAATAAATAAAAGAAAAGATATATAAACATACACACATATATAAACAGCCACACACACACACATACACACACACATATATATATATATATATAATAAAACAGAAAAACTTGGATAACTAAATCCGCAAGATCGAACATAACACATAAAAAACAGTATATAAACAAAAGTAAAAGTACACTGACATACCTACATATACACAAATATATGCATAATACATACATAAACACAAACACACAACCATAAATATATATATATATATATATATATATATATATATATTCTCATGTTTACTGGAATCAATTTCAAACCACTTTAAGAGACATTACTTAAACGGTAAAACTAAATCTTGTGGGGTGACATGCCAACCTCCTCACCAGCAGAAAAGTGGTTTAAATGCCAACCCCACCCATCCTTGTGACAATAAAAATTAATTCCCAATAGTTTTGTTGAAATAAATTGACAAAGTCTTAATTTTTTATTAAGTTTTTCCAGTTTATGTATAAGTCCAGAAGGTAGTTGTTAACAGCCAGTCCTCCAGGCCCGTAGCAATCAATGCAGGCATCCCCAATGGTCACTTCTCAAACCAACCCATTTCATACTTTTCATAAATGATCTGCCTAAGGGTATACTCAGATCATTTGTAAATATCTATGCTAATAATACGATATATGGGTGCACCTCCAAAACTTGAGATGAGATTGGCAGCTGATCTGAAGTGGTTTACCTATTTCACGCTGCTGGCGAGTATTGTATTTTGTTGATGTTATAAAGATTACCATTTCATTTCCAACCTCTGTTTTGGCTATTCCTCATTCAGTAATCTGTTTTAGGTTACAACAGATAGATAGATAGATAGATAGATAGATAGATAGATAGATAGATATTGACTCTGTGTAGAGTAAATCTAAAAGGGGGGGTGTTATATACCATACCTATGAACACTAATGAGTATGTCTCAAACCTCATAAATACGTTGGACACGATTGTAAGTGGGAGTAATATGCTGTATAAGTAGTCCACCACTAGCAGTAGTTTACCTACTTCACGCCGCTGGCGAGTATTGTAGTTTGTTGATGTTATAAAGATTACCATTTCGTTTCCAACCTCCGTTTTGGTTATTCCTCATTCGGTAACCCTTTCTAGGTTACAACAATCTAAGAAGTGTTGATATATGATGACTCCAATATACACTGGGTTCACCCTAAGAAACACCAAACGAAGTTTTTTATTGGGTGTCACGTTAATCTTGAAAACCATCAGAAGACTTAGATGCTTTAACGGTTGATCAAGAAGATAACCTCACAGTCATCAGCTTCTGACATTGGAGGACATCAGTGAGTGCAACAATATAAAGAAGGAAGTCAACTCAGCTGAACTTATGAAATACGCTCACAAGACAATCGAATGAGAGGATATCATATAAACGCCCGAGACAAGAAGTAAAAGTCCTGCATGTCCTCGTTAGAAGAAGATCGAATATTCAAAGAAAGATTTGAAGCCACATACCCTGAAATTGGTTGGCATTAATTTGACAAAAGTGAATAAGCAATTATTTTGTAAATAAAATAGTCCTGTATTCTTATCAGACATTATATCATCGCAACAAATTGAAGAATTTGATAGCTTTTTATATTTCTTGTAATAAAATTCTATGCACAAGATACTTACCAGTATTATTCCACTTCTAAAGGCTGCAAACTCTGTCAGAACCCATTCGTAAGTATTTGGTCCCCAAATTCCAAGCCTGTCTCCTTTTTTAATTCCCAGACAATGGAGGCCAGCTGCAAATTGATCACACTGTGAGAAAATGAATATACAATCAGGTTATGTCATATTTTCATACAATTACTCAAGCCTAAGAAGATAATAAGTACTTTAATAAAACATTGAAATTACCTAAAAATTTAACTTAAGCTTTGTTTTAACATCTAAATTGATCGTTGACAAATTAACAAAAATTATTCAAAACAAATTCGAGTTATTGAAGTTTTACATAATTTGCATAACTTCAGACAGACTGTGTTTCCTGTTTGAAACAGTTGCATTAATTCCTCACCGCCGACAATCCCTTTTTTTACAGTAAGGTTCACACTGTACAAGTTCCAGCAGCCACTCAAGGTAGGGGATTATGTTAAGAGATGGTTTAGCTGGATAGGAGGTGAAAATAGAAAACTCTAGACTTGAGACTGTAGTGATTGGGGAAACATACTCTTGGGAGTTTGTTCCACAGGCTAGTGGCTTGTGAGATGAAGCTGTTTCAGTGGAACTTATTATGTAAGTGGCATGGCGGATCCTAGCCTTAAAGGTTTGAGCGGTTTTACACCCTTAAATCAATCTCATCCAGTAACCTTACACCATGAAAGACGCTTGAGCCTTATATTGATTCAAAATGTTTTTAATGAAAGTACTATACACCTTCCTCTTTGTTTTACACCCTTACATCAATCTCATTCAGTAACCTTACACCATGAAAGACGCTTGAGCCTTATATTGATTCAAAATGTTTTTAATGAAAGTACTATACACCTTCCTCTTTGTTTTACCTTACATCAATCTCATCCAGTAACCTTACACCATGAAAGACGCTTGAGCCTTATATTGATTCAAAATGTTTTTAATGAAAGTACTATACACCTTCCTCTTTGTTTTACACCCTTACATCAATCTCATCCAGTAACCTTACACCATGAAAGACGCTTGAGCCTTATATTGATTCAAAATGTTTTAATGAAAGTACTATACACCTTCCTCTTTGTTTTACATATTACATCAATCTCATCCAGTAACCTTACACCATGAAAGACGCTTGAGCCTTATATTGATTCAAAATGTTTTTAATGAAAGTACTTTTAAGTAATTGAAGAAGATAGACTCTGTTACATCTAAACATGATGCTGTTTTTGCTCCATTCTAATTGAATGCTTTTTCTGATCGACCAGTTGGTTTTCAGTTCCTTCAGGTTACCATCTAGCTGAATCCTCACTCAGCGCATTGCTGATTTGTCACTGGTATCGTGTTGATGAGCATGGCTCCACTTGATCTAGCTGTTGTGTTTTTTTTTTATCTCAGAGGGTGAGAAAATCCCCGATGAAGTAAACTGAAGCAAAGAACAGGACGATGGCAAGGTGATACACAAAAAAAGAATTCTTTGGAATAAAGAATTAACTCTGGTTAAAAACGTAACAACAATTTGGTTTATATATGATTTGTTGTATACAGAAGTTTTAACCCTCCCTATTTACTGTTAAAATCAAATGACACTGAGATTCCCTTTTGGAGTTTGCAGCCCGTGTTAATAGTAATTTAAATTACTAAGTTCTGGTCTTCAGGGTTGGCACAAGGTCTTGATCAAGATGTCTCGGCGAATGATGTGGATTTCTGTAGTAGTAATGTGGGGATTCTTCAAGTTGCCCAAACCTCTAGCTTATTTTAAGTCCTGCATCTGGTAGGTGTAGGGGTGATGAGGGTCTGGGGTTCGGTTGTCTTTCACCCTTAGCATCAACCTTTTTCTAAAATCCCATATTTTCAAAATATATTTACTCGAGGAATTTTCTAAATTTAGGGGTTATCCAACCTGCCTTTGAGAATGGTTAGAGGAATCAAGCTGGCCCTTAACTCATCTCGCACCATCGCTCCTTATAGGTAGTGCTAATCTATCTCTACCTTCTCCCACTTTCTCGGTATCCAACCTCAACCCACTCCAAGGGCTGGTACACTGTCTTTGTGATGAATCTAAACTTTTAGTATGCGTAGGTGAAAAGGTGATTTCCAATCATTAATCATCCTTCATCAGCTTGTCTCATGCTGGTTGTTTTTAGGTGATTTCTCGATCAAACAGGCCACACAGTCGATTGCCTATGGTCACTCCAGGGCTAGTAATTAATTTTTCTTTACCACTTGTATCCAAGGTAATCCGAAATAATATCAACTATAAAAATTTGATGAATGTCACAGAAATTAAAATGAAGAAACCCATCCACAATCTTAGGCATTAATCTTTATTTTTTTTCTGGGTGACTGATTCAAACCAGATGTTTTTCATGGCTCTTTGTCCAGAACAATTTTAGATGTTATTTCGGTAACCACCTGTGATTTTTTTTTTTATCGACAACATTTTTCTATTTTCCAAGGATACATTAATAATTTTTCTTATTGGGAGGGAGAGAAGGATGGGTAGTCTTGGTTTTGCTCAATGTTACTGAATTCTGTCTAGTTAATTTTGGTTTCAGTTGTCTTTGGAACTTTTCGTGATTTCATTTTATCATTTTGAAACATAATTTTTTAATGCATTTCATTTTTAATTTTCTTTTCAAATTTTCAATCCACTTTCCTGTGAATTTCAACAATTATCATCCAGTTAGTAGTCTCTTTCCTTTTCTTTTTTTTCTTTCTTTCCTTTTTCTTTTGTTTGATTAACCATGAAGTCTCAGTGTCACATTCACTCCAAATTGAGTTTCCATTCCTATTTGTTCTGGTGGGAACAAAAACTCAGAAAAGCCCGGTACATGTTCACAAAATAATAATGTCAAGACAAGATGAGAAGACATGAATCCTGGTTTCCATATATTTGATTATTTACTCATGGCTTCACCTGGTACAGTCTGAGAGTAGGTAAGTGACCCTTAGAATATCTTCACTGTTATTTGTCTTATTTCACATCTGTCAATCTTCAGACTCTCGCATACTGCTCTTCTACTCATCTTTGCATCACAACATGCGGATTTATGACTTTGCCTTTCTACATCTCGATAGATGGCTTATCACTTACTAATAGCTGATAATATTAGCATGAAGTTTTATTATATGAACATCCAACCGGAACTCTCTACCTTCCGTCTGAGCAGTACTTGACCCTGAAAATTTTCATTGATTTATTTACTTGCTCCACTTTTCTCCTTAATTGTGAACAGCAAGTGGCCACTTTGAAGATCTCATATCTAGACTTTACTGTTGGCCATAAAACACAAGACTCTTCAGTCCTAGAAAATCATTTTTTTATAATGATGTTCACCCTGTACAAAGCTAGAGAGTCACTCGAGAGTTATAGAGTAAGAGGCACAGTTTATGCAGATATGTAGGGAAGATAATGGTTAACCCTAGATGTGAACAGGTTAAGAGTGTAGTGATTGGGAAAGCATCCTCTTGGGAGCCGGTTCCACAAAGCAGCTGCTCGAGTGGAACTTACATCTCACAAATAGAATATGAAGGGAATTGGAACTTGGCTCTATGAATAAAAATTCTGAGCTATTATCCATTACACCATGCACACATTCAAGGTTACAGCATCTGATATTCCCAAGTGGTTACTCATCTAGGGACTTACCAGGCTAGATGTTGCTTAATTTTAGTGATTGTACTGGAATTGGTGTTTCAATGTGATGTGGCTGTAAGCTAGGATAATTTGAGGGATCAGAAGATCCACTGAGGTTCTTAAAGACAAGAACTAAAGAAGTGGGTTTTCAATAAGCTGGAAAGCAAGAAGCAGACATTCATTTGCTGTAGAGTTTGAAGAGAATAGGCGACAGTTCAGGAGCACATTCCCTTAGAACAATTGCAATGATGCTGTCAAGTCCACGTGCCATGTGGAGATCTAGTTTGGTAATAATAGCAGAAAACATGGACAGAGTTATGTGTTTATTACTCTGTAGAGATTCTGCTCGAAATACACCTGATGTCGTGAAGATTTTACTATGCTGGTATGGATGGAATCATTAGAAGAAACGGAACTTTTGATGTTTTTATTTGATAAATCCTGTCTATGATATCAAATAAAATAATTTACAATGGATTTCTATAGTAAAATAAGTTATATTACAATTCTATACAGATTTTGAGAAGATGTGTAGTTAGCATAACGGTTATCAGCACGGACAAGGTAATCAGAAAACTTAGATAAAATTTTGATTTAGCCTATTGTATTCACTTTGTACTAAAGCTCTTAGGAAAGGCATAAGTGGAATTACTCTAGTCTGCCAATGGACTTTGATTAATGCCACTAGGTGGCGTATCAATCAGAGGTATAAAAATTAAGGACTCACTCTTTGTTTCTATTTTTGACTCCGGGATGTAGTAGTGACAACATAGGACTGATCTTTGCTGGGGTGGGGATGGGTTTTTTCTTTTTTGCCAACTACTTAATTTCACCAAACCATGTTCATGCACCACACACACACACAGAGAGAGAGAGAGAGAGAGAGCTAAGAGAGAGAGAGAGAGAGAGAGAGCTATCTGTAAATGTAAATATGAATTTCTTTTTCTTTTTATGACCTAAATTGTTCTTTGTATAAGTTTTGTTACAAATGACTGACACTGTACTGCGGTTGCTTTACTTGTTGGCTGCTGGGTCATGTAATTTAATAAGTGTGTATTTGGGCAGCAATCTCTTTTGTCAGTTATTTTTAATGAAACTTGTATAAAGAGGGTATTGCTGTCCAAATACACAATTATATATATATATATATATATATATATATATATTCCTTTCTTTTGAAGTTCTTCAACTGCGTACACTACACATAAATCCATCCATCTATTCTTCTAACTGGAAGTTAAAAGTAAGGCAGACTGGTCTGCCTTGCCAATTTAGGAAAAATACTACTCTTATAGTGGTGACCCGACTAAAAGTACATACAATGTGTAAATATAACATAATCAACCAACTTCTCTAGATTGCCACGTGCATTGAAGAAATTTTATTTTCAACACGTGCGTTGGGAGAATATTAAGGAAAAATTATGAACTTGCCATTCATATATAAAATTTTTTTAAAAAAAACGAACTTGATAAACGCCCTACACATTTGAATGAGAAATGTACCTATCAATGTCACTGGAACCCACGTATAACTTCCAACAGAAGATAATAATTCTATCGTTACCAACAAAAACCAAAAATAAAATTAAGCAATTTTCTGAAGTATGACTAAGTTGAACATATCACGTCTCTATGAAGAACCATTACATCCAGCTAAGCAATCCTCCTACTACAAAACGAAGAGGTAATATTTCCTACAAAAAAAAAACTATAAGAAAAGTTGCAGTTCTTCAGATCCTACAGATAAATAGAAAACACCAATGATACCAAAAACTGCTCTAAAATCTCTTCATAATCTAAGATAATTGTCCTAAACAAAAAACAAAAAAACAATAAAGTTGTTCCACCGACAACAGTTCTAAAACCAAAACACTCAAGCAAGTATGCAAATTTGACTCGAAAAAAATTAACTCTCACAGCATGCAGCCTACTTGGTCTACCCTTTTCATAGAACAGGCCTGCCAGTTATGTAAATGCAAAATAATTGACAAGACATAACGACAAAAGAAAAGTCGGAAATCAGATCTACAACTTCAGGAAGAACCGTTTCATAAAAAAAGATGGAGGAACTTCTGTTATGTTCCAGAATGATAACGATATTTCATCATTCTAAAAATAATTTTGCCATCTGTGATGATAAAAATAATGATATTTCATTATTCTAAAAAATAACCTTGTCATGAGTAATGATAGAAAAGAAGGATATTTCATGATTCTAACCCTCATCATTATAAAAACGACCCTTCCAACACATGAAAGTCAGTAGAGTAGAGAACTGTAGAGTAGGCTAGATTACCTGTAGCAGTAGTCAGTAGACAAGTAGCAGTACAGAAGCAAACGTCTAGCCAGCCCTCCGTGAAGATCGAAAACAGACGATTTCCAAATGTCATCCTCACAAACAAAATTCTCGGAACTAAATCAAGCACTGACTTTTAAGCAAAAGAAACACTGAGAATATTTTTACACAAATATTCTGTAATGCACATTACAAAAAGAGAATACAAATTCTTCAGTTTTTATTCTCAAGTTGTTATTGTTGTTATCGTTGTACGTTTTATGCATTCTATTTTCTGTCATTAATATCAACCCCATTACAGTCAACAAATAATAACAAAATAATACATCAACACCAACTTATAAACCCCATTACAATTGCATTGTATTAATCTTTAGGATGTTGTAAATATAAAATTATTCTTGTAAATATAAAATAAATGAATATAGTTTAATATTTTTGTTGTAAATTCTCAAGTACAAAAAATGTATAAATTCACTTTCATATGTTTGTGTTTTATTCCAATTCTAATCATTGCTTTTTAAAACAATAAAGATTGCCGAAGAGTGAAGGTAATTAAAAAAGCAGTGTCATCGGAAAAACCGCCCTCTTGAAATTCCGTCTTATTGCAAGCGTGTAAGACCACATTTGCCCTTTTTTTACTCTTTCTAATCCTTGTAATTTAGTAAATGTTTATAGATTTATGAATTTAAAATTGCTTTAACATTTATTTTTTTATGAATTCGTAAATGATAAATATTGCATTAGTTTTAATTGTATTAGTTTTTTGAATGTTGTAAATATAAAATTATTCTTGTAATTAAACAATCTATTCTAATAAATAGAGTTTAATATTTTTGATGTAATATTCAAGAACAAAAATGTTTAAATACACTTTCATCATGGGTTTGGGTTTTTATTTCAATTCTAATCATCGCTTTTTAAAACAATAAACATTGTCGAAAAGTGAAGGTAGTTAAATTAAAAGCAATGACATAGGAAAAAAACAACATACTTTTGACACCCCGTCTTATTGCAGGCACAAAACTCCATGCTTTCCGAAACTTAAAAACTCTTACCTCTTCAAGAAATTGAGAAAATGTTTTACGTATTTTGTCAGAGTAGAAAACCAATGCTTCCTTGTCAGGTATTTTCTCAACTTGTTCTTGGAAAAGGTTTCCAATCGTAACACCTTTTAAGCTGACACTTGATGCAGCATGACGATAACTAATTCGGTGACAATCATTGACGTGACTTGAATACAATCTGAAAAAGAGTAATTGCATTTAATATCTCGGAATTATAACAGGTGAATTCTAGACTGATGCTAAGCATGGCACCACAAAATAAAAAGTGGGAGAAGGAGAGCTACATCAGGTGTAAAAGTTCTTCTTTTGTATGTGCTGTGTCCCTTCTGGACGTAGGAGATCACGACCCTCCACATCTTCTTGTTCCTTGTATCTCTTAATAAATTTTGTCTTTTTGTTATTTCTCCCAAACTCTGTTCTGCCATTCATTTACTCAAGCCCATCAAGTATGTTACGTGCTGTTTTCCTTTGTCCCTCTTTCCTTCAATCTATCCTGTGGGTATCAAATTTTCTAAGCCGACCTTCTTCATTAAATGCCCCAGAAATTTCAACTGCCTCTTCCTGATGTTAAGTATAAGTTTCCTTTTTGTTTCAATTTTCTCTAAAACCTCGTCATTGCTTACATGTTCGATTCATGTCATCCTTAGTATTTTTCAGTAGAACCACATTTCTGTTGCTTTAAGTCTCTCCTTCATCTTTGAGAAGATTGTCCATCATTCACTACCATATAGAACATGTAATAGTTCAGTACTCTCTCCTTTGTTTCTAATAAAGTTTTTCTGTCTCTTAATACTCGACTTAGGTTTTAGAATGCATCTTTGGCCATCCCAGTGCAACTCAGTGTCATACTTTTCACCCTCTATTAGAACATTTCTCAGATATTTAAATTTGGTGGAGGTTAAAACAGTTTTTTTTAAGCGTTTCACCCCAAGCAAGGCGAGAAGCCACTAGGACGCAAGGGGTTACAGAAAATTTAGAGCAAGAGAGAGGAGAGAAGGATGATGAAGGATGATAGAGAAGGGTGGAGTGTCGATGACATTATATTTGAAACTGGAGATTATAGCTCTCAGGGAAACTGGAATAGGGAAGGAGTTCCACAGGCGAGAGGTGCGAGACATGAAGCTATTGGAGTAGAAGAGACGGCTACATTTAGGAGTTTCAACAGTGAAAGGGTGAGAGCGATATGCCAGCCTCGTAGGGCGCTTGAACTCATGAAGTCTGGGAACCAGCGAATGCAGCTCCTCGGAGCAATTGCCATGAAATTATTTGTAAAACAGACAGAGAGAGGCGACTGCGCGTCTGTGAGAAAGTGACTGTAGACGAGATGCCAGAGCAGGGCCAATTATATTGCATATACGCCTCTGAAGCCTATCAAGAACCCCGAGGCAAACAGAAGGGGCTCCAGACCATATATGGCAGCAATACTCCATGCAAGGGCGAATTGTTGTAAAACAGAGGAGATTAAATTAGAATGTTGGGAAGCTAAATTAGATGTTAAATTTTAAAGATTCCTGATTCTATATTTCTTTTATCTGATCCTCTCTAAAAATGAATGATATTAACTGTTATCATCCACACATACATTGTCTTCCTTACCTTTTACTCTGTAACCCTCTTAGTGTTCTTAGGTCATGTAGAGGGTGTATATTATTGTAAAAGAAAGACAAGTTGCGACAAGTTAGGCACTAAGTCAGATGTGTAGGGACACTACTATTAATAAATAAATAAATAATATAATAATAAATATCAAAAATAAAATAAAATAAAACAAATAACATTAAAACTTTGTTTATCTTCGTTAACAATCTTCCCGATCTCATCAGTTCGCAAGTAGGCATCTATGCAGACGACGCCCCTGTCTCAATAGCAAATCCAGTATCTCTGACAAAACTAACCTGGCCGATGGTCTCGAAAAGGACCTCCAATCGGTTGTTGACTGGGGCAAGAAATTGCTGGTTAACTTTAATGCCTCAAAAACAAAACTGCTCTCTTTTACCCACCACAGAGAACCCTCCCTGCCTCCCATTAGAATGTAAAATGCTCATCTCCACAAGAGCACCACTCTGCGATGCTAGGTCTCACACTGTCCGCTGACCTGAGATGGAACAGATACATTGAATCAATAGCCTCATCTACCACAAGGAAAGTTGGTTCTCTGTGTCGTGCTAGAAAGATTTTCTCACCCAAGTCCCTCCTTCAAATCTATAAATCAACTATTCGCCCTTGCATAGAATATTGCTACCATATATGGTCTGGTACCTCCGCTGTTTCTCTTAAGATCCTCGACAAAATCCAGAGATGGATATGCAATGTGATTGACCCTGATCTGGCATCCCGTTTACAGTCGCTCTCTCACAGATGTGCCGTCGCTTCCCTTTGTCTTTTCTACAAATACTTTCACGGTAACTGCCCCGACGAGCTACTTATACTGATTCCCAAACTGTATGAATTTAAACGTGCTACTAGGTTGGCATCTCAGTCCCCCCCCTTTCGCTATCGAAACGGTGAAATGTAGCCGTCTCTTCTACTCCAATACTCCAATACCTTCATGTCTCGCACTTCTCGTCTGTGGAACTCCCTTCCTCTTACTTGCTTCCCTGATAGCTATAATCTCCAACTATTTAAATTCAATGTCACGGTAAAGCGCACAAGCCTATTTTTAGAAGGATGATTTTACTAAAACTCTCCCATTTATCCATTTTAATAGGTGAAAAAGTATTCGCACAATGTAAATTTCAGATTTTAAAACATTTAAATTGCTCTAATCCTCCAGGTCATTCAAGTAGAATATTCTAGAATGTTTCAATAATATTATCAGTAGTTATATCTAGATTAAAATATACAAACCGAGCATTCTGTAATTGGTATTCGTGCAAGAAGGTTTTCATCATGGCAAGAGGTAAATTATTGATAAATTCGCAAAATGAACTGATTGCTAATCTCAGGAAAGAAGATAAAATCTACAGGAACAGACAACCTGAATATTCCATTTACTACCATTAGTTCATTCATTTGCAAGGTATAAAAAACTCAAAACTGTTGAAAACCAAAGAAGTACAGGTGCTCCACGAAATATTTCTTCAAGTTCTTTGAGGAAACTAATGCGTCAAATTATACAAAATCTAATGGTTACTCGTCAAGAGTTGCAAGATGATTTGCTTTCATCAGGAATCTGTGTCACTAAACGGACAATAAGCAATAAAATTCATAGGAACAATCTAAAGTCTCGCTCCCCTCGGAAAACTCCACTGCTGTTGAAAAGACACAGAGATGCCAGGTTAAAATTCGTTCGTGAACATAAGGATAAGGAAAAATCGTATTGGCAAAGAGTATTATGGACAGATGATACCAAAATTGAGTTGTTTAGACGTAATTCTAGAAATCATGTATAGAGGAAAGATGGCGATACTTTCAAACAAAAGAAAAGCGTTCCAACAGTGAAATTTGGCGGTGACAGCATCATGGTTTGGGGATGAATTCTGGAAAAAACTACTGGCAACATATCAGTAACAGATGGTAGAATGAATGCTGCAGCATATAAAAATATTTTGGAAGCAATTTAATGGTTTCAGTTGAAAAACTTGAACTTCGTCCTAATTGGATCTTCCAGTATGATAATGATCCTAAGCACACTGTAAAACCTACGAAGAAATGGTTTGCTAAATATAATATAAATATCTTGAAATGGCCAAGTCAGTCCCCAGATTTAAACCCAATCGAGAATCTGTAGTGTTATTTGAAAATTCAAATCCAATCAAGGGCTCCAACAAACATCCCGGATCTGAAGACGATATGCGAAGAAGAATGGAAAAAATATCAACTAAAATTTGCAAATCATTAATTCAGAACTACAAGAACCGACATCCAAGTGCCACTCCAGGTCAGCCCCTTTCACTCTACACAGTCGCGCAAGATTTACCCATCTTTGCCGAATTCTGATGAAGAGTCGCCTTTCCGTCTAATCTTTCCGTTAAATCTTGACTTTAAGATCAGATGCTGAGGTGTCGATCAGAATCACGACGTGTCTCAAATAACTCATAACTCCAAGCAGTGGAACACATAAAGTTCAGCCTTCGTCAACGGCGGTGCCACATTGCTCCAAACAGAAGAGGCCTCAAGGAAATTTTTGGAATAATTATTTATTTGTATGTTAGTACAAAATATGGCACAAGGCCTAAAAGGGGGTTGGAGAAGGACGGTCTTCTTCTGTCTTAATTCTAAACTTAGCTAATCACAGACACGGACCCAAACATACCAACAATGTCCCAAACACCAAAACAACACATTCACTCCTACCTATCTTACTGCGTCCACCATAATACCTCAAATTCTCTATGAAATCCTAACTAGTCTCCATATGTACATTTCAAATCTGTGCGGGGAGGGGAAATAACAACAATTTAAAAAAACCCAATGATTATTTACAATATGATTTAATACTATTTACATATGCATAGAAAGCGAAATAAATTCGACTGAAAAAGATGTGAAAATCTGCAAAGCTAAAGCCTGGACCGCCTTGAATAAAATGGATGTAATCCGGAAGTCTGATCTACCGGACAACCTCAAACGGACCGTCGTGGTTGGCATGATAGACTCATCAATGTCCGAGCTAGCTTCACCGAATAATGATATTCAGTATTAGTAATTGGTCATCGTTACAATTTATATTGTAAATAAACTGTGAATGATTGTGATAAGAGTTGAAACTGAAATTTACTTACGTTCTTACAAGTTTTTGCATCAAAAGATGTGCATAAATCGATGTCCTGTGTGTATACATTGTCACAGTTTACACTACACTTACAGGCAGGGCCGGCGATAGGGCCTCGAGCCGAAACTTTGATACGTGATCCCTTTCTCTACTATACGTCGATTCCAAATTTTCCAAACCTGTGGGCCACCTCGCAGGAAAATTGGTGGTGGGGATGGTGGGATGGGTGGTTTCGCATCGCAATTTTTAAATTACCAAAAATCAGACAACTATCCAATTTAAATGAAAATTCCAGTACATATTCATTATTTATTTTTTTTATAATGAATAGGTTTTTTTATTTTAAAAAAAAAATCTGAGAAAATATTATTCTTTGTGTAATAACCACCAATATTTTCATGACTAAATTTTACTCGAAAAAATAAGTCGCAAACTTTTACATTTCCATAAAGATCGCCGACGCATCTTTGTTGAAAAAAGTTTTACAAAGATTCCAACACAAACGGGATTGTCTTAAAAATTTGTTTTAAAAACAATATTTCAGTTTTCGGGAAAATTTCGATCTTATTTTTCTGATTATGTCGCGTTTGGATCCCCGTATTTGCAAAAATTGACACTTTTGTACACATAAAAAAAAATAAAATAAATTCAAAATTTTTTTTAAAACATCGACGGCCGTTGATTTGTAGTGAGCTTTGACATTTATAATTAATAAATATTAAATATTGTCTTAATTTAATAGCAATATCAGTGAAGCGCTACAAATTAATACAGAATTTTAAAAGATTTAAAAGCTTTTAAATTATTTTAATTATAATTAAAAAAAAATGAAAAAAATTCTTGTAAAAATTCTGTATTCACCGAAAAAAAATTCTAAAGACTGTGTAGTGTGTAGTGTGCATAAAGGAATTAAAAGCTTTGAAACTCGCAGAACAGATTTTCTGTATCTGCCGGTCTTGTTTGAGTTTGACTAAAAAGATTTAAATTCTCCGAGAACTTGTCTTTTAATATAAACATTAAGTGCTACAAAAAAGAATTTCTCGATATTTCTTAAAATTAAATAAATGGATGTTGGGTACCACCACGGACTTTCTAAAAAAAAACAAACAAAAAAAAAAAAAAAACACGAAAAACGCATACGAGTTAAATATTAGTTTTATTTGCGTACTAAAAGAAAAAATCATTTTTTCTTTATGGAAATAAAATTTTTAGACATTTTAAGTACTTCGAAAAATTTGCTAAAAATGAGCATAGAAAAAAAATGACCCAAAAAACATAAATAAAATTAAAAACAAAGTTTAAACGTGAAAAATCTTTGTTATAGGAAAGAAAGTCCAAAGTATTTTTTGATTATTAAATAAATTAATTATATTTTTGATTTTAAGAACCTTAGAAATTTCGGTTACAAGTGTTTTTCTTGCGTTTAGCGGGTGACTATAATAAATTCGTATGAGAAATTTTAGCATATTACTTTTTTTTTTTTTTTTACGCTGCAAAAATCACTGATTTGGAAATTCTTGCAAACATCAAATAATTGTCGGATTTTAATGAAACTTTCAAGAGTTATTCACAAATGAATTAAATTATTTTTGAAAGGTTTTTCTGGAAAAAAAATCTCTGTAAAAATAGATTTTTTTTTTTTTACATCTGTTAGAGAAAGAATTTGCTGTCAAAACAAACTTACGTCACTCACACTCACACACACACACACACACACACACACACACACACACACACACACATACATACATTATATAAAACTTTAAAAGCATATTTTGAAATTTTATTTAAATAACCTACCTATTGTTTGGCGTAAAAGTCCATTGTTTTTTACCCAGCTGATATAGAAGAGCCTGTTTGTTGAGAGAATACTGGATTTCTTTATACCCTCGACATGAAATGATTCGACTAAAAATCACGTTGGGTATCATGTTCTCAGATGTTGTCCTTGGACGTTTTTTCCCCGGCTTCTGAGTAAAAATAAAAAATAAAAAAATGAAAATAATAAATTGCAACCAAATGACAAAAACAAAACACAGACATAAAAAATTAACTTTTTAAAATTAAATTAAAAGATGAGTGAAAATTCCTCAAACACTGACGTGGAAAATGCAATACGAGTCTTCTTAAGCAAACTGATTTAACAACGAAAAAAAAAAAAAAAAAAAAAAACAAACAAACAAAAAAAAAAAAAATCAAATCCTGATCATATTAAAAAAAATTAAATTCTTTTAAATGTTTTCTGAAAGCGAAAGCTTGTCTAGCGTTTACGGTTTACGTAATTGCTAAGGGAAATTTACTTAAATTGAAAAATGTAATTACGCTGTTAAAAAAAGAAAAGAAAGAAAAGCAAAACAACAACTCACAAATTCGTGACACTTGCTTTTCGGAACACTAAAAAAAATGTTTTTCTTACTTCACGCAACTATATTGAGGTCACCAATCATCTCACTGCTCTGGGTTTATTTAATCTTCCCATTGGTTGTCTGAGATTTACCTAAAAATGCCACTTAACTCCCAGGAATTTTATTTTATTTTGTCTTTATATTTACAAATATACAACGTGCTTGCTCCGTTTTAGTTGATTTCAGTCAGTGGCGCAGCTAGTGTTTTTGCCGGTCAGGGTAGCCCTCAAGTTTGCCGCCCTTCCCCAGAAGGAATACAATACAATGCACATTATGATTATCTCACGCACGCACGCACGCACGCACGCACGCACGCAGAGAGTCAACGATGAAATTATTCGTACACGACTCTCATATTTCTCAGAATATAATGCCCGTATGATGCCAGGAAATTTATATCTTAATAAGCACACAAAAAGGAATGTATTTATTGTGGCACAAAACCGAAGGGGGAAGTGCGTTAAAGAAAGCCGGTCATCTGTAACTATTCTAGTTATCATATAGAATAGTTACAGATAAGTAACTAATTGTTATAGTTATTTATAACTCCTCCTCACTGGTAAATTGTGAAATAAATGTACAATTGTTTTTATTTATTATTTTTTTAAAATAAAACTGGGACTATGTAAAAAAATGAAGATGTTTTTTTTTCTAAATCGGGAAAACTTTAAATTTAAAAACTTTTTAGTTTTTGCGATGTTAAAAGAAAGATAACTTGTTTTTGTTTATATACCCTCTGTTTTTTTACTTAAAAAGAAAAAAAAAACACATTGTATTTTTAATTCATAATTTATCAGTTTTTTAAATATTTATTTCAATTCTAACAAGTGAGGAGGCATTATGTCTTCTGAAACAGAAACACGGTTCGTTTTAAAACAACGTAAAAAAAGATGTAAATGTCTTTAAATTATTTTGTTTTACGTAATTGAAGTTATTATTAGGAAAGTAGTAGACTAAGAATTTAAAGTCTGATAAAATTAATTTCACTTTTAAAAACTGAAATAAATGTTATCATACTCTTAATACTTGGTCTACTTTGCTTAATAAAACTTCAACTATCTAAACAAAAAAAATAAAACATTGCATTGTTTTACTTCCATGAAAATTTGTAAATTGAAAAATTGAAAACAGTTCCCATTTTGGACGTTAAATAAAGTTTCTGCACTTAAAAAATATATTAATTTTCAATTTCCGTTCGACATTATTACCGGAAAAATTGGAATGCATGTGATATCCTTAAACTAAAGTATTGGAATTATTTCAATCTATTTATATATTTTATAATTTATGAAAAGTAACGATTTTATATCTGCATTTTAATACGGATATAAAATCGTTACTTTTCATAAATGCCTATGATAAGATAAAAAAACAAAAAAAAAACCAAAACAATTCGTTCACTTGTTAATTTTTTTTTTTTTTACTAATAGTTCACAGACATGAAAAATCAAAATCAAAGAACTAATGCCAAAGTCTGGACTTTTCACATAGGTATGAAAAACTGTGGATTCACTAAATTCACTTAATCCAACCCCACATCAAGCTCTTTAAAAATATTCAATTTTTATTTCACACTTTTTGCTCTCGTCTTGTAAGTGGGGTTTATCCCCACCAGCTGACAGCGCTTTTGGAGACAATTTTTTTATTTATTGCTGGCTGGCTTTGAGCCAGCCATATCAAAGACAAGTTGGATTCATTTGAACCCTATCTTCTTCCTTATTCCTGCCTTTTTTTTTTTTTTTTTGCAAAAATTATTGAAATTGTACTATATTGTTTGTTTTTTTTCTTTTCTGGAAAACTCACCGCGGACCAAAAGAGCGGACACCTCCTCTAACCCACCATAGCTACGCTGCTGTTCAATAATGACTTAAATGTTTTTTTTTTATCTTGAGAAAATAAATTTAGGTATCACCACTGATTGGCTAAAAAAAGTAGCATACCTGATTATGATGAAAAAATGCCCCAAACTTAAATTTTTTTACAAGAATTGTTTTCATTTTTAGAAATTATAATTAGAATTTATATAGTTTCAAATCTTTTACATTTCTGCATTACTTTGATTCCGTTAGGTGGTTTTGTTATTAAGTAAAAACTATATTTACTAATCTTAAATTGAAAAGCTTAGTACAAATCATCAAAGACCAATATTTAAAAAAAAATTTTTTTTTTTCCTCCACACCTTTTGTTCATGTCTTATAAGTGGGGTTTATCCTCACCAGCTGACAGTACATTTTGGAGACTGTTTTTTCCATGGCTGGCTTTGAGCCAAACAAATTGGCTTCATTTGAACCCTATCTTACTTATTGCTGTTTTTTTGGGGTTTTTTTCTCCTCTCCCTGAAAACTCACCATGAACCAAAAATTTCATTTCCAGTTTTTTATTTTTTTCAATGATTGAAACTGGTGTCTCCATTGAAACTCTTTCTGAGGTACCAGAATATGAACCACTTCTTTGCAACTCTTTACAAACTTCATAAAATTTCTACCATTATGTCCGATTCTGCTCTGAATCGTAAAATAAAAAAATACAATAAAACTAAGAAATTATTTAATTAGTAGCGCTTTTAATTGCTTTTATGAATAATATACATTATGGACACTATTGTCTTAAAAAAATAATTTTTTCGATCTTGAATTTTTACAAGAATTGATTTCATTTTTAGAAATTTTAATTAAAATTTATACAGTTTCAAATCTTTTACATTTCTGCATTACTTTGATTCTGTTAGGTGGTTTTGTTATTAAATTATTATTATATTTACTAATCTTAAATTGAAAAGCTTAGTACAAATCATCAAAGGCCAACATTTAAAAAAAAAGAATTTTGAATTTTTTTTTGTATGTGTATAAAAGTGCCGATTTTTGTTGATACGAAAATTCATACACAACTTTATCAAAAAATAATAGCGATAGTAAATTTAAATCTAAAGTAGCTAAAATTCAATAAAACATTAGATGACGGAGAATATTTTCCAAAATTGTTAAGATTACTGAATCCTTAAAAATTATATAAATATGGCGCTCACCTTGTATTTCAATTATTTTTAGAGATATCCACCGTAGAAAAACAAATAAACTTCCATCTATCATTCAAGCTGTCAAAATGTCAACACATTATTAAATAAACATCTACCGCCTTGTTAAAAGTGCATTTCTGCAATACAGTGTAACCCGGATATAAGAGAAACCTGGATATAAGAGAGATTTTCTCTGGTCCCAAATTAGAGCCTGTGTTAATGTATATAAAATAGACCAAACCCGGATATAAGAGAAATCCGGATATAAGAGGCTTCTTCTCCGGCCCCGACAACTCTCTTATATCCGGGTTACACTGTATTTTAAACTTAAAGTAATATTAGTTTCAAATCAGATTAATTAAACTTTAAATTAGTTATGCCTCAAAAAATGTTTCAGAAAAGTATATTCTATTTTTGAAAGATTTTTAATAAAGAGAATTACATTCTTATGCAAGTTGGCTAAAAATGGAGCTAAAACCAACAATTTCAAAACGAAATCTCTGTCGGAGTTAGCTCCTCCTTTAGTTCCTTAACCCTTCACCAGGGGTCTCTCTCCCCTGGCTATAAATACTGGATGACCTTTTGCCTCGATCTCTTTTTCCCTCGATCTCTTTTTCCCTCAGGCCTTGGGCCTTATATCACCTCGCATATATGAGCTCTCACAGATACAGCATTTCCCAAATTCTGGGAACACGCTAAGAACAATACACGAACGTACGAACACTCACCACAATACACACACCTTGTTTGTTTTCTTTAGACTTAATTAAAGTCCAACATTCTCATATAGCTGGGTCGGCTAGCAGGAAATTTTAACCCACGTGTGTTCTTTATATCTACACTGCCACCGTCCACTGCATCTCCTTCTAATCAATTTATATTAGTCACTTTCTCACTACGTTACGTAGAATGTAAGATGAAGAGAATTATTTGTTATTATTCGGTCGAGCTAACTCGAACATTCATGAGTCTATATTGACATCGCTAATTTGGGACTTTTATTTTGGCCTGTTTCTATGCTGTCTTCTTACAATTACTCTTAACATTTTGGGCTGCTTATTATACGCGCTGTAACTGGGTCGTGACGACTGTTTTGGAGGAGGTATTTAAAAGCTAGCTCGACTCGGGCATTCATGAATCTATCATGAACCATCATGGCTCTATATCAAGGTCGGAAGGTCATTAGAGTGGCTATAAAAATTATGCTTTCCTACTAACTCCAAGTTCTCGTGTCAGGCACAAAACGTAGTTGGTAGAAACAGCAACCCTCGAAAATAGGCGTAACTTAAAAAACAAAACAACACATTTATTTACAATTACAAATTGAAAAAGTACAAAACAAGGGTTGCACAAAAATGTCCTCTTATGCGCCTCTTTGGGCAGGGTAACAGTTTGAGGTAAGAAAAAGAGAGATTACAGTACACCCAGAAACAGGAAAAAATACAATTCACCAAAAAATAAAACCAACGGATTCGTATACAGAATATACAGTGTAACCCGGATATAAGAGACTTCTTCTCCGGTCCCGACAACTCTCTTATATCCGGGTTACACTGTATCCGTTCAAAAATACCAAAAATAAGGGAAAACCTGGAGTAAGAGGATTCATAATATGGCACAAGGCACAAATCTTTTAAAAGACAACATTTGTTGTAACGGTCTGTAAAGGACCTCTCAGCTCAAAGGGCATTTGACGTAGGCAAATTCTTGTAGGTTCTGGGGTCTGAAATATGTCGTACGAAACTATTTTGGAGCTGTCACGTCAGATTTATGACCTCTCACTGGACTGTCCTTTTATGTGATGTCTTGTGAAAAGTGCCCGGGCCGAAGTTGACGCTTTGCCGTTTTCTTTTCAACTTCCCCTTCTCCCCCAACTGCTGATAGCAGTCGTTTTTTATTCTCAATAAAATTCGACTCCAGCACAAATTTTTACGTGATAGAAAAAACTTGATTCCCATTTGCTAAAATATGTAAAAAAAAACCTTCCGAGTATTCAAAAATAGTAAATTCACAAGATCTTGGCGTTTCTTTGCTTGAGCCCAAAAGGCTATAAAAATGCACGAAATTTAACTTTTATTTTACAACAAAATAAAATTTTTATGTAGCATCCTGTGTCTTTACATAGTTAGTAAATGTAGGTGGGTTGTTGGGAGACCAACCCGTCTAAGTGTCCAGAGCAACAGATCACTTGTGAATTCTTGTTTTGCTCGCCAGCACTATCCTGCAAAGAATATTCTGCGTTCACGTCAGATTGTAGAAATAACAGGGACGGGTCCATAGAACTGGGACTTAGTTGGATGTTGTCTCCAAGAGATGTCAAGTATAGCTCTCTAGCATCCATCAAAATTAGGCTCAAGGGTTTTTGTTTAATGTTCAATCAGTGGCGCCATACATTAAAACTGTCTCTACAGTAGCTCGAAAAAATCTCCGTTTAAAGATGTCTGGTAGATCAGATTTATTGATTACATCCATTTTATTCAAGACCATTTTATTATAGCTGTAGCTATGTGGATTTTCACATCTTTTTCAGTGGAATTTATTTCACTTCCTATCCATACACGCATATAAATTTATAGTAATAACATCAACGTATATGATATTAGAATTTATTCCGACCCCTGGGTATGTAAAAATTTCGCCAGATTTCAATAATAATAATAACAATGGTGATAAAAATAATAATATGCAAATTAGGCGTTTATTTTCTGTGACTATAACAAGAAAAATATAACAACAACAGTAAAAGCGATGATAAAAAATGATAAGGGGTTATCTTCTGTGACTATAAGAAGATAACAGCAACAACAACAATAACAGATGGTTTCTCAATAAAAGTACTTGTGGTAGGTTTTTTAAAAAATCATTTCACTCCAAGTAAGGCAATAAAACCACTAGGACGCAAGAGATTACTGACTGTTAGAGAATATGAAAAAAACTGCTATAGGAGAGAGGACAATAAAAGAATAAGAATTAGGAAGACAGAAGATAACGATTGAAATTGCATTTAAATTTTTGAAGGTCAAAGTTGACTGGAAAGGAAGAAGCCGGAAGAAAGTTCCACAAGCAAGAAATGCAATAGATGAAACTGTTAGCATAGAACTTACGGCTACATTTCGCCATTTCAGCAGTAAATTGATGAGACTTGATCACTGATCTAGTACTGCGCTTAAATTCATAAAGTCTAGATAGCATAGCGAAGAGCGATATTTATTTTGTACAATACAGAAATGTAGCACAAGGCCGTAGGGGGGGATTGGAGAAAGGATGGTCTTCTTCTGTCTTAACTATAACTTAGCTAGCCACAAACACTGACCCAATCGTACGAACAATATTCCTTACACCAAAACAACACATTCATACGTACCTTTCTTACTACATCCACCATAATACCTCTTTGTCTCTATGAAAATACTAACTAGTCCACATATTTACAATTCATTGTCTGGGGGGGGGGAACAATAATTCTAAAAAAAAAAAACTAGCCCCAATGAGTATTTACAATATGAATATAAAACTATTTACAAGAAACTAAAGAAAATACTATTAGTAATAAAAAAAACCCACAATCACTAAATGTGGCAGAAATATCAATTAACTGGCCGAAATCGATGTGGGACTATAACAGTATAAAACATTCATTCATCCCAAGCACTCACACTGACATGCACTCATTCAAACACAACAACAAAAACGAAAAAACACTCACGTGAAACGAAACACATTCATACGTACCTTTCTTACTACAACCACCATAATACCTCTTTGTCTCTATGAAAATACTAACTAGTCCCCATATTTACAATTCATTGTCTGTGGGGGGAGGGGAATAAAACAACAATTCTAAAAAACTAGCCCCAATGTGTATTTACAATATGAACACAAAAAACAATTTACAAGAAACTAAAGAAAGATAAGATTAGTAATAAAACCCTCCACAATGGCTAAATGTGGCAGAAACATCCGTTCAATGGCCGAAATCAATGCGGGACTACAATAGTATAAAACATTCATTCATCCCAAGCACTCACACTGACATGCACTCATTCAGACGCAACAACAAATACGAAAAATCCCACTCACGCGAAACGAAAGGTGCCCTGCATCCACCAGCGAACTGACATCACTGACCACCTAACGAGGGAGGGGATGGAGAATTAAACTTAAAGAAAAATAGGGGCAGAAATAAAAAGGGGCCAATGAGCATACACACCCTAGCTAAGTTAACTGAAAGTAAAAGAAACTAAAGCCTCAAAATTAAACCTAACCTAGCCTAGCTAGTAGCATAGAGAAGAGCTCATCAGAACAATTTCCATGAAAATATTTATAGAGAAAACACAGGGAAGCTACTTCACAGGAATGGGAAACTCATTAACCATCATATTGTGGATGAAATATCTACCACAAATATTGATAATAATGGCGTGAATGATGCTAGAATCAAGGGAGAAGGCGTCTCGTTCGGCAGATGTTTGATTAAAAATGAAATAATTCCCGAAGTAATCAATACGGCTTGGGGCACCACTTAGAAAACTGAAAAAAGTTCTTAGGGAAAATTGGAATTGGCAACAAGATAGTATACACCCAAGAAAATACCATTTTTCCGCGTGAGGATTCTCCGAAATGCAATTGAGCTATGTGGAATCTTGTCGACGCCATGCCACAAGAACAGAACTGCATTAATATGAAAAATGAAAAAAACTACTAAACCAATAATAATAATAATAATAATAATAATATAAAACCAATAATAATAATAATATCGGATCGTTTTTCAATCAATCTGAGGGCTTCAACTTGGAGCCCTCGGTTTGATTGGAAAAAGGTCCGGTATGTCAATGAAAGGAATCCTGGTAGCCCATGGCTTAAAGAAATACAAAGAAATTTTACTCATAAGTACAACTCATATATTACGAAAAGCTTTATGTAAAATGTGTGTGATCATAAGGGTTTTATTTGTTGTTTTATTTTAAAATGATTAGTGGAAAATGTCATGAAGCTATTTCTGGCCTTATGCCTCTGGATGAGACCCGGAAGGAACTATGTATACAACAGAAATGAAAGAAAAAATTATCAAAAATAGTAGTAATATCAATGAACAACACAACACTAAAAAAAAAGGAAAAAAAAGAAAATTCCCTAAATAAGTATGCGCGGTCATGTAATTTATAGCATCTAGGAATGAGAAATCAGAAAGCCAAGTTCGAATTCCAGTAGAGTCAGTTGCATTCACTTACGCACAAATACCCTTGGGAAAGGGATGACTTCATCTTTTCTCCCTCCAGCTATGGGTAAACAAGGCATGACAGACAAGGCCCTGTATCCTTGGTTGGTAAGCAGTTGAGAAGGAATAATCTGAAATCAGTATTATTTTTTCTCTTTTCGTTTTTTAGCCGTTGTGCTCATGCATGGTTGCTCAGTTCTTTGTGGACATTTTCATGAATTCAATAAAAGACGTATAAATCATGAAAGAAGAGCTTTTTAGGGGAAAAAATTAGGATGAATGATTTTGAGTCTATTCTTGACGCATCTGCTTAATGAATCCACCATTTGATCGATACTTAAGCCTGGGATGCAAAACGTCAACATGTACGAATCAGATGATCTTTATCTGTTATGGACATTCTGATAGTCATGTTGAATTTCAGTAATTCTGTACTATTATAGGGGCGTTGATTGACTTCCCTCTTGACTATGGTCCATCCGTAATAGTCTAACGGATTCAGGTCTGGAGACCTAACAGGTCATATGTTTGGGGTGACATAATTGTGGAGTCATTCTTGGGTCGTCTAGGTCTTATGAGATAGCGCAGAAACTTGTTGGCAGGTGTGTGGGGGCATTCACATCATACCAGCAGGGATAGCCTCGTGTTCACAGGAATAAAAACATAGAAAGAAATTACTCTAAAAGCGTGTTAATTTGGTAATTAAAATCATAAAATTCTATTTATTTTTGTGTACTGGTGTGTGTGCGTGTGTATTTTAGTTATATGTGTTCTGAGGTTGCATGTACTAGAGGAAGAAAGTCACACAAGCAAGGTGCCGAGGTGAGGAAATGAACGTCTTGACCCTTTTTGGCGCGAAGTATCCGTTTTCTGTTGCATGCTGGGATAAATTTTATCATTTTGGTTTTATTTATTTTATTTTAAACAAAGTTTTAATGTTATTTGTTTTGTTTTATTTATGATATTTATTATTATCATTATTTTATTTTATTTTTTTATTAAATAGTAATAATACTAGTCTATTGTCTGTACGGTCCCCCTTTGCTCACAATCTCTATCTAAGACCCTGCTACCCTCTCCTCACCTCCTTATAATCAGCAGCCTTGACCCATAAGCCCCGAGGAAAGAAGTGAGGAGGCATGACATCTCCTCATTGCACACAACTCCAAGAACCATCGCCGGAAACTTTGCGTGGATGACCATTGGAACGTTCTTAGAAAACATCCATTTTGAAAGCCATTTTGTACCAATTCTACTGATTATTTTAATTATTTTGGTTTCCTTTATAATCACATATATTTAATTCTGTTGTGACGCCATTCGTGGAATAATTGTGACAAGTTTTGTGACGACGACGTTCTCCGATCGTCCATCGTTCATTGCACCTGTGATGACATCCAAGGTTGCTTATACACCCAACTCGCTATATCCACGGTTTCGTCTTCTCGTCCTTGATCGCTTTCGACAAATAATCTTAGTGACGACAAATGCTTTTAAAGATGCTGGTTGGTAGTTCACAACAATACGGTTTCTCACTTAGCCGGCTATCTCTGCCTTCGGGTGAACTGCTATTGACCTCTGAGCTTGGCGACTCCTGATTCCTCACAGCTGGGCAGCTCTCACTCCTCTGGGCACCTACCTACTTCTCTCACGACTGAACTCCCTTTTTTTCCGACTTCATGTCTCTCTCTGCTTATATGGATAATCCTAGAGTCCCACCTCTCCATCTACTTTGAGACCACCCCAAAACCACATGGGTGGTCAAATCTTGAAGGGACTACTTTTATGGTTATCTAAAATTATTGATAAAATTTTTATGTTTCCCAATTCAAAGGCGAACTGGAGACATGAACCCTGAAAACACTGACACTTGAGTTTTCTCAAAGATGGATTGAAGATAAAATTCCTACGAGACTCCAATAGCTGAGTGTACCTGAGGGAATTTATCTCCTTACCTTCTAAAGATGTGTGAGAAATCATATGGTTACACTGAGCTCATTAGCTTACGGTCAAATCACGCTGAAACACCGGTTCTCGTTCGATCACCGAAGTTAAGCATCGTAGAGCCAGGTCAGTACTTAGATGGGGGACTGCTTGGGAACACCTGGTACTGTAAGCCCCCAAAGTCCAACGTTTACCTCACAGTCGGTGGGGGGGGGGGTGTAAAACGGTAGGGTCAGAGCTATGCCGCCCGGAACTTCGTTCCTGGTAGGGCCACCCAAGGCAGACAGGTCTGACACACACGCCGGCTAACAAGGGCTCTGGTGAAAATCCAAAGAGCGTCTGCATCGGTAACCGGCGGCTTCTGGTCGTTCCTGTCTCTGCGTCTGTGGGAATCCCGCGGCAAGCAAGAACGTTATTCGAGTAGGCCTGGGTACCCTACTTCTGTAATTTATCCCAAGAATCTTCTTCTCATAACAGGAAGAAGCCGGCTCAATCCGCCCAGGGTGAATGCCGCATCAGTACAGTACAGTACTGAGCTCATGAGGCATCTTTGACTCCCGTCGCCCCAGTGCGAAAACCAAAACGATCGCAAAATTGATCCTGGAGACTCTCTTTGCCAATGCTTATGCTCTGATAACCCTCACGGAATCTGCTTAACAAGAATCTTGTCAACAATTTTACTAAAGCACCCTGCCTGTTAGGCCTTATCATCACCCTCGGGAAAACAGAAGCTGTTCTAGCCCAATCATCTCACTAGACCGCAACCCATCCATCTCTATCGAGGGAACAGAGCTAGACAATATGGATGAATTCCAGTACTGCAGAAATACCATTTCCAATGATGGCTCCCTCGACAAAAAGATCGACACCGGGATCTGCAAGGCAAATCAGGCCCTGGTAAAACTTGCGAGATCGTTTGTTGAATCAAAACAACATCCGGTAGTCCACCAAGCTCAGGTTCTACAAGACGTAATCAGGAAAGACGACTTGGAGAATTTGGCACTCATATGACATACTGAATACAAAATGGTAGAAGGAAACAGCGAGAAACCTGCCTAACAATCTTGTGTAAATGAATAGCAGAACAAGGAGTGGGAACATGGAGGCATTATTTACATCTACGAAAGATAGGAAGCTGTGGAGAGACATGATCACGCATGTCCTGAAGGGGTACGGCTCATAAACGAAGAAAGATTACACTTAGTTTCCACCATTTTCTTCGATAAAGTTCCCTTAGAATTTATACAGTGTTTATATATATATATATATATATATATATAATGATGTTCACCCGGTAAAAGGCCAAGTGCCACTCAAAGTAGAGTGTTACAGAAGCACAGTTTATTGGGAGATGTGGGGAATACAACGATTGACCCAATACTTCAATAGGTTAAGTTTGTATTGATCAGGGAAGCATCTTCTTGTGAGTCGGTTCTACAGAGCAATGGTTCGCGTGAAGAAGCTGCTCGAGTGGAACTTACATCTCTTCAGTGGTATATGAAGGGAGTGAGGATGGTTCATTACAATGTGTGTGGCATGGTGGGTCTTAGTAATGAGGGTGGTGCTAAAGAATGTAGTTCGTCTGAGAACTTTCCGTGGAAATAACGATATAGCGACGTACGTTCGTCTGTGAGAAAGGGTGGAAAATAATTTGTTACCCGGTGGCGCCTTTGGACTCTATCGAGACTGAAAAGTGAAGTCTGGGGGAATTTCTGTCCATATATAGCAGCAGTACTCCATTTTTCGGCCTCATCTGGATCTTGTAAATATCGAGGATAGCAGGAGGCCAGAGCAGCACAAGGAACCGGCCGTTTTCCAGCATCTTTAACGATGGGTCGTATGTACGAGTTCCACTTGAAGTCTGGGTTGAGTCCGAATAGGCGTTCAAGGTAAGGGACCTCACTCAGGGAACATCGTTGGTGAAAGTTCAGTGTTTGCTTATCTCACCAAAGCAATACTTCTCACAAAGAGTAGTGGTAAAAGACTGTATAATAAGGTTCATGCTCATCATTTAGATTTGCCTAATTCCTCATTGGTATTTGACATGTTCAACTGAGTTTGCCCCAAAGCCACAGTTGGAGACACCCTGTAAAAACAAACAATATTCCGTCGTAATGTACTGCTCAGCAAGCCTAATAATTCTCACTGTGGGGTTCAGCGTACCCGGATTAAAGGAGAATTTAATACGGAATACCCTGCCCACAAAATACAACGTAAATTTCAAGAATGAACAACACGATAAGGAACGTTTATAGAAAATAGAACATTGTATATTTATTATCTTGTGAATAGGGTAAAAAAGATTAATGTTTTAGTTCGTTTAAGCAAAAAGGTGATTTTGATAAAAATGTCTGTGTTCGCTGTCTTTTAACAGAGTAGCAGAGTAATGTCTGTTTCTTTTGTTTTCGTATATGTGTAAAGGAAAAAGGGGCGATCAGTTTAAGTTGAAAAAAGAGAGCGTGTGGATGAGGAATAAAAGATAAAAAGATGTACTTATGAATTGTTTTGGAGTCAGTTGTAAATTTGTTGTTGTTGTTGTCCTTTCCTAATCCACTTTCGGCTCTTTGTGTCGGGTTGAGTCAGCGATGGAATTTACTGTCAATCTTCTGTGATCTTTGCGCCCTTCTGACTCGGCGACTGACTTGAAACTCTGTATTTATTGTTGACTTTTTTTTTCACACTGGCTCGTTTCATTGGTCAGAAAATTAATTTCACACCTTATTGCGAAATCTGTTTTTAATCGTTTTGCTCCGATTTTGCGGGTGTGCAAATCTACTTTGTGTTTTTTAGTCACTTGTTGGAATGATATAGGATTTGTATCCTATATCACTTCAAGTTGAGTCAGTTGAGACGTAAGCTTTATTAGCTATGGTTTTTTTAAAAATCTTTTCTTCCCAAACAAGGCAACAAAGCCAGTAAGACGCAAAAGCATACTGGCGTGAAAGAATATGAGAATAAAAAAAAACATTGTTAAAGAGGAAGAACAATAAAAGAACAAGAATTAAGAAGACAGAAGATAACAATTGACATTGCATTTACATATTTGAAGATCAAAGCTGACTGGAAACCAAAAGCTGGGAGAGAGTTCCACAGGCTAGAAGCACGAGAAAAGAAACTGTTAGCAAATAAATTATGTTTAAAACTAGCCATTTCAACTGCAAGATGAGGGGCCATATCTGCCAATCCAGTACAGTGCTTAAATTCATTGCTATGACTTCTTGGGAAATGTAATGAAGCAGGTTCCCGCTGATTTCTACACGTTTTGGAATTCAGGGTTTTCCTTCTCTTAGACCAGTTGCTATCTAAAGCTAGAGAGCCGATTCTATCCTGCTATTTAACCCATAGGCAGTGGGTGTGAAAATCGCATTCATGCTTCTCCCAAGGGTACTTGAGTGAAAATGAATGCAATAGGTTAGGCTGGAATTTGAACTCAGCTCTCCGATTTCAGCTTCCCAGCCGACACACCCTTATAAAAGATGTTGTTAAAATGTACCAATCAACCAACCTAAAAAAAAAAAAAAAAAAAAGTAGTTTGCTTTGATTATATTTCTAGTCTGGGTCGAGATATTTTTATCCTGATACGAGCAGGTCAACACAACACAGCTAAAATTACAATGTGCGTTTGAAATTTTAAACTTTATTGTATCGTTATAGTTCATTAATAAGAGGTCATTTGAAAGTTATTCAGAGCAAAGAAAATGTGTTTTTATTTTGAAGAACACCTTTTGAACTTTCACTGTTTGTCTTTGAAGTGTTTAAAAAGAAGTAGAATACAAATTAATACAAAGTTCAATACAAATTTGATTAATCCTCATCAGTTAATCAGCTAGCGCATTTTACGTCGCTGTGATCACCACTCACCCCTGTGTCGTGCTAGATAATTTTTCTCTCCAGAAAACGTTATCATTCATCCATGCCTAGGATATTGCTGCCACATATGGTCCGGTACTCCTTCTATATATCTAGAAATCCTTGATAAAGTCTAAAGAAGAATCAGCAATATTAGGGGTCATGATCTGACATCTCGGCTTCAGTCACTTTCCCACAATCGTAAAGTTGCCTTCCTCTGCCTTTTCTATAAATACTTTATATGGTAATTGTTCAGATGAGTTCTTTTCTATGGTACCGAAACTTAAGAATTTAAACGCAGTACTAGACTGGTAACAAGGTCTCATCAGTTGAGTTGGCTTCTTTTCTCGCGCCTTTCGCTTGTGGAACTCTCTTCCGGTCCC